GTTTTGCGTCGCTGCACGAATCCTGACTTCTCCATCCATGAGCGAGGAGGAATGCATATACTGGAACGATATGCGCTGTCCTGTAGGTAGCCGCGAATATTTGGGAACATGGAGCAGCAGCTAGCCGCATTGGGCATCCCACAGTGGCACAAGAACAACATAGAAACGAGCGCTGATGCTCACGCTCCAGCCCTTTGCCACCCTACGGGTATTTGGCCGGCGTTTGATAACGATGCGGTATAATCAAAGCATCCAATTGTGACATGATTTTTTGTGCAAGTTCAGAAACCATCCGAAGAGTTCGTTAGACACTGGGGCGCGCAGCCGCTCACCGACGCCCCCATCTTTCCTGCTGCGGACGAGTCGCTCTCATGGTGTCCATCTCTGTGGCGTACATCCCCATGGGGGGCTTCCCCATGGGGGGCCTCCCCATGGGGGACCTCCCCATCGTGCACTTCACGATGGCGCATCTCCTTGTCATGGTGCTCCACTGTTTCTGCCAGTTGCGTCATTCCCTCAATCATTTCGTCTCTTTCGGCTTCGGTCTGTTTCATTGCAGCATTGAAGGTCAAAGTACAAACAGCATGCCCACGGGTACTCCGCGTGTCCTGACAATTCCTTTGATACTTGCGTCGAGCACAGCCAACAACCCGAAACATTTTGCAACGGCCGATACATTTAAATTATCAGCACATGTATGGCAACATCGGGATCCAAACTTACCTTGCTTGCAACTTTCCACGCTTTTTTCAACATTTCGTTCTTCTCTTTCAACAGATTCTTCAGTTCTTCAACAGAGTCTGGCAGATCTTCAACGTCAAGTTCATCTTCGTCACCGGATACTTGGGAACCTTCCATTTCATTTTTCCATCTGATGCTCTTTTGCGTTGGTGCTCTCGATAGCGGCCCCTTCTTCCCGGCGGAAGTGCTGCCAGCTGCAGAGCCTCCTGTCTTGGCAGCTTTTGCAGTTTTGGTGGCTTTTGCGTTTCTGTTGGATCCCTTCTTTCCCTTGGAGGAACTGGATTTAGGGCGATTCGCCGAATCCGACGCCGATTTGCCGGCGCCGCTTCGCGGTGATTCCGGGAACCCATCCTTGTGAGACTCACGATCTTCTGCTCTCAGCGGGGAACTGATGAAAACGATTTTAGAATTCCACCATGTTATGATTTGAAGAGTGCAGATCCATTGAACATGGTCCATTCAGCGATGGACGAAAGAAGTGCGTAATTGATTCCATGCAGACACTGATGCAAACCAATGCTGTAAGTGTTGGTCTGGCTGCATGTGCGCAAAGCCATCAAGTACACATTAAAATCCTGGAAAAAGTATCCGCAGAGATGCTGCAATACGATATGTGCAAATTACATGAAGTCTGCCAGGGAATTTGAAGCGGCAACAGCGCGATGGCCGCGTGTACCTGAACTCTCTGTGGAGGGTGAATCGCTAGATCTGTCCGAGTTCAGTTGCCCGCTCTCGTGCATAATTTCGGGGTCATCGGAAGAGGCTGCTTCCCGCAGGCGTGCTGATGAATTCGTTTTTCCCGGTGATTCGCCAGAAGATGAAACAGACGTAGCACGTGCGGCGGCCAGTTCCTATGCATAAATGGAGAAATACATGCGGGAAATCGCTGAAATCAGCTGCATCTCAGCAGAACGGCTCCTTCTTAAGCGAATAAGCAATGCGCGCCTGGCGGATTGTCTCGCGTCCAATTGCATTGAATAATACTCGAGTTTTGACCATTGCGAAAAGAACCACACAGGATGGTTGTATTTGGGCACTCTGGGCTCGAAGGCATTTCTGCACTTCGCTCCGCGACACGGAGGAAATTGAAGAAAGCGTGGATGTGTTAGTGGAAAAAGAACAGAGAAGGACACAGACAGACACAGATGCCGTTCTAGAAGACGATTGCATCACATTCCTTGATGCGCTTCGTATCTCAGGTGCACCGCAGGGGTATGCAATCCGTGAAATCGCGGCCCCAAAGCTTCCATATTTGTGTGTTGGGCGGCAGAGGCACCCCTACCGATTGCCGTTGCTTATGAAACGGGTGCCGCCGCGTACCTTCTTGAGACGCCGGATCTCATCCTGCATCTGGGCGAGGTCTTGGCTGCCCATCGGTAGACCCGGAGTTCGCGCCTGTTCGCGGGCGCCTGTGCTTGCAGGGAAGAACGCAGAAGAAGGGGACTGCACCGCATCATCCGAGCCATTGGGGGCGTTGCCGTCTGCGAATTTTCCGGGAGTGCGGGGCGTCCTGCGCGGCGTCGATCTGGATGGACAGGCGGGGCTCAGTCCTTGCTTTAATCAGAGGCGCATGAAGTCGAAGAATGCACCTTTCAGGGAGAGAAATCACTGCTGCATACAGCGTAGGCAGGCCGAGGGAGAAGCTATTACCGCCATTGGGAAGGACAAGATAATGGGGGTATCTGCGGTTAACGCTTGTTGGGCCATTTCTCAGCGACCAGCTACAATTCCCGTACGCCCCAACGAAACTAGATATTTTCCATATCCGACTTCGATGTGCGACCGGCTGCTGCTGTCTGGGTGGTTTTGCAGGCAGTCCCTGCGAATTCGCTCCTTGCGCGTTGAAACCAGTGGAACTGGCACAGAAGAGCCACGACGAGCCGGCTGTTTGCGACTGGCAGATAACTCACTCCAGAAATTATCGCTCGAAAATTTGCTGCTTGCGAAGCACCTGTAACTGCCCATCCCTTTGTTGCGTGCGCGCCGACCGCTGTGGTCGCCAGCACACTCCTCATCCTGCTCGTCGTCTTCCTCCCGCTCATCTTCGTCTGAGCTGACTTCGACATCTACCACAAGAGCGCCTTTGGCTTGAGGACCCCGTCTCGGAGGAGTCTCTTTCGAATCTATGGCCTCCGGTGGCCCTGCGCCTTCCTCATCTTCCTCTCCTTCCTCATCTTGGTCTTGATCCACGCGAGGCAAAGGTTGAGGAGACCTCGTCGCCCTGTCGCCACCATCCTGTGAGACAGGGACCAGAATTATTCCCCCCCAGGTTCCTAGGTGCTGCGTCAGTTGATGCATTTCTGTGCAGTGGCCATTCTCAGTGGCGCCTACTGTAGGTGCAATGGCCGCAACTGAGAATGTCCGCTGTACTGTGCACAGTGGCAGTACTGCCACTGCATTGCAGTACACGACGATCCTCCCGCGACAGCAGACACTCTGCTGGCGGTGGCATGCGAACTTGGCCTCAGGATACGGCTCTGTGGAAGAATATCTCGAATTGGATGCGTTGGTCAAATGAATCCACGAAGATTTTTGCGCAGCGGCCTGAAAGGGGCTGGGTTCAACACAAATGTTCCATCGATTTTCTTCCCGCTTGAAGCTTACAACGCACTCGCACTATACCCTTGATCGCAGGACCGATGACTGGCACTCGTCAATCAACAATGAACAGTTGGTCAGCTGCGCCATAGAAAATCACGCAAACCGGAGACACCTCGTTGTCTCTGTCTTCCAGAAATGTCCTGCAGGTGTCCAGCGACAAGCTGAGGTTCTCCAGCTCCGCGCACACGGCTGGCGCCCTGAGGGTGGTCAGCAGCGTGCTGGATTCCATCAGCGACGCGTGTAGGTTGTCCATCTGCATACAAGCAGGAGCATCCGCTCAGGAGCTTCTGAATGCAAGCTGAAGACATTGAACCAAAGGTCACCGGGAGATCGAATGTGCACAGATGCGTTGAAGCAGCTGCAACCGTTCATCAATGCAGTTCATCCTGTGATTCGCTCTGAGGCACAAGGGTCAGCATTTACTTGGGCAGCACAGAGGAATACGTACGTCTGGGTTCATAAAATTGTATTCGGGCATCCTGATTGGTATCGTATCCAGCACGGTGGAATCAACCGTAATGAGTATGTTTCAGATTCTTTCACAGACTTGCAGCCCAGAACAGCGTTGAGCATCCTACCGACTCCAGAAGTATAAATTCTTCAATCAAATGTATGAATTATGGAGGCAGTGAGTGGTATCCGCCGGCTCCCTGTCTCATCCAAGGAAATCAGTGGTGATGATTTGCTCAATGCAAGTTTATGTCTTCGCAGTAATGCTTCACGGAGTCCTTGAGCTCCTACTGTTGCAACATTGTTGTCGGTGATGATACGCAAATTGCACATCCTTGCAAGATGGCGAGCTAGGACGCAACTGAACAGTGATTTGGCATGCCGTTGACAAGAATGTTCGTGCGTGTCTTGGCATCAACTGTCTCAGGCAGAGTACCAAAAGAGAAAAGGTATCTCCACCTGGCCCAGACTAACAAATTGAACCCAGGCGTAACTCCGAAGTAGAGCGAGAAGGCTGATGATATGCTCTCTTTTATCCGTTGCATTGCTGCCGCATTTCAAGCAATTTTCATGTCGCGGTCCACCCAGCTGCCAAAAATCGGGGACGAATTCCAGTCACACGTGGGGATGCATGGCTGTGCATCGTAAGGTACATGGCGACCGACCCGCCCCTGGCATGAGGCAGGAGGAACGGGGTGGTGAGTTTCGGTTAACTACAAATTGGTGAAACAAAATGTCGGTGAAACAACAAAAAGGTCTTGGTCGGGAGACGGATGCGCAGCCACTGACGAAATCGGGGCGCGCTTACAATGCGCAGCAGCTGCAAACACATCCGTCCGGGCCCCTCGCGGGCCTCCCTCCGCCCGTGGCTTTTCCCACCCCAGTTTCCGACCGCGCACCGGTACCCCTGCGTACCCTCCCGGCCCCACTCTCCAACTCCTCGTCGTCGTACCAGCTCAGCAGCCCGTTCAGCCGGTCCGCCACCTTCTCCACGTCCAGCACGAACGTCTCCACGCCGCACACCCCGCCTGAAATGACCACACCCCCAAACCGTGATCCCCGCCGCCGAGCGCACCGCACCATCCGCCTCGGGGCGCATCAACCGCGTCCACGGCAACCTCCCCCCGCGCTTGCGCTCTCGGCGCCCGTCGACGGCGATCGCCATCTGAGATAGAGATCAAAGAGGTGCCCGCTCAGGGCCCATCACTCTATGGCCAGGTTGCCAAGAAAGCAGGCAAAGGGCCCTCGATCGACCGTGGCCGCATCGACGCGAGCCCCTCACCGCCGGCCTTGTTCTCCCGCGCGTCGACCGGCTCATGGCCGGGCTGCGCGTCGTCCGCTTCCACGGCCACCTGGCCGGGCGCCTGCCCGCCCAGCGCGGCGCCGAGGCGGCCCTTAAAGCCCATGCCCCGCGCGGGCGCCGTGGAGTGCAGCAGCCTGCCGAAGGGCTTCCTGCCGCCCATGGGTCCGTGGCGCCGACGGGCCTGGGCGTTGCCGTCTCTGGGCTGCCTCGCGGTCTTTCTGTCTTTCATCCTCGGCGGTCGGTGGATTGTGGCGCGGCCCTGCCGGGGTTGGCAGGTTTGGGACGGAAAGTGGGACCGTTGACTTGGAGCGCAGAGTTTGCATGCCTAGTTAGGCTTGTTATCTACTATCCATTATCTGCTACAGTATCTGTCATCAATCACACACTGTCTGTTGTCCATTGTCTATTATCCACTACAATAGATCGGTCGGGATCTCGTTGCTCAATTTGAACCCATGCGCCTGCTTCGCTCGCGTTTGGGCTCTCCGCTCGCTCAGGGTGCAAACAATCGATTGAAGCTCAGGGTGCAAACAATCGATTGAACTTGGATCTTGACTAACAATCACAAGCGCCAACGTCCCCGCTGCGCGTCGCGCTGAAGTTCGCTTCCCCCCCACCAATCCACCAGGCTGAAACACAAGGATAGCCCGCCACTTGTTCAACATCCGCATCTTGTCGTACCCTCGAATCCGGCAGTTGGACCACTGCACTGCACTGCCCTCTCAACGATGAAGCCAATGCAGGTACAGTGTCCCACAAGTGCTCCATACAACACCACTCACGATCCCGACCCTGGAAGTTTCATTGACCCAATGTGCAAAGATGCCGCAAGCAACAACTGATGTGACATCATTGCTCATAACTGTCCTGCTCCATATCTGATTCTTTCAAACGAGCCTCTTCTTCATCGATCATTGCATCCACTTCGATCTCAGGGACCTTTAACGACTCCCTCAAAATCCCCTTTATGGCTTCCTCGCCCTGCAGCACAGGAACAGACGACATTAAAATCAAGGCCTTGATGTCTCATAATCACTCACAGCAGAAGCATAGAATTGGGCCAGCGTCCTGTGCACAAAACACTGTGCACAGAAGACTATGAGGCATGTGCAGAAACACCAGGTTTGTGCCCATTCATGGAAACAACAGTTGCCAAGCCTCAAAAATGGAATGCTAAAGTGTCTATTCCTCCCTGTGCATTGCCAGTGGATATCTGCCTCGCACCAATGGATAAGTTCCACGGTGCTTTGCAGCATCAGGGCGACAGCAGCTATTCCTGCCTTATTCTTTCTAAAGATCAACATTGTTTCTCATTCGAAGTGCTCAAGTCGCAGGCTGCTAAGTGCACTCCTGCAGAACATGCAGATCCGCTGCGATTCTCACCTGCCTACACTTTGCAATTCGCAGCTGTTGGTTCATTTCCAGAAGCCCTGCTGGAATCTTCTCTCTGAACCATGCATGGTTCATGATCTCCCCAATGGTAATCCTTTCATCTGGGTCATACTTCAGCATTCTGTCAATCAAATCGCACAGCGCAGGTGACAAATCCCCTGTTGGAAGCTCGTAGTCCACTTTCACAATTCTCTGCAGTGCCACACATGACACCTGGTGACAGCTGCTACAATGTACTGCAAGAGCATTGAGGCCAATGACTGTCAGGATGCCACAAGGCAGTCACCCCAGGGCGGGTAAAGACGCAGACAGCAGACAACTGAAGAGAAATCAAAGCAACCGGGTCGCACTTTCATCGGTCATCCATGGACAACCCCACCGATGAATGCATCGACGTGATGTGCAGTCCAGCAAGAGTAGTCTAGACTGAAAGATCGGGTACCATCGACCGTACACACGCATGTATTGTCAAGGCCCATCTTGACAACACATGCATTTAAATGGTCACTGGGTGCCCAAACAGCATCACCTCACCTCAATCCCTGGCAATCTAGAATAGTAGAACACAAAACATGAATGATGAGCCCCTTTGAGGAGCTGAGCAACAACTCTGGGTGTCGGGTAGGGTAGTCCAGAGGGGCAAGGCCACTATGTTCCAAGTTGCATTGGAGGACTACCAGTAAGAGGCACTTGCACATTTCCGAAAGGCCACAATCGATTCCACTCCATAACCTTTCAACAACAATACAGAGCAATAGGGGATTCAAGCCTTCTCTCCTCAAACAAGCAATGGATGTCAGGCTGCGGTGACACTTGCGTGACCATGAACTCACCTGCAGCAGATTGTACAGCCTATTCGACTTCCCCTTGTCCTGCGCTCTATCGAAAGGGTACTTGCCGACAACCATGGCATATAGGAAGACACCACAGGACCATATGTCAGATATCTGCAAGAACAGAAAACTTTGTCAAAAGTGCAGAATTCCACACAACACAGAAAGCACTAGAACAGCAAGCCAGTGACAGCCTGGGACCATTCATGAGCCACCCATAATGCAATCTGTCACAAATTGTTCAACAAGGAAGTGCACATGTCTCTATTCTAGTGGTTTCCATGCGATCTTCTGTTTACAATTTCAGACCATTCTTGTATTGACGCAGCCTAGTCACTTCCTCTCATTCGACTCTGCTTCCTTTTCCTTCAAGACCTGCTCCTGTGCAGCCATTCGATTCAAACCTAAACACAGGAGCGATCCCAAGGAACATAAAGATGGCAGAGTACACCTGGGAATTCCGTGCATACCTTGGCCTTATACGAAAATCCTGGCTTGTTGGTGACGATCTCTGGCGCAAGGTAGCTTGGCGTCCCCACACGCGAGCTGGGAGCTGAGTGGAAAATCTCGTGCTTCGAGTACCCAAAGTCACAAATCTTCAAGTTGGGAGGGTTGCAGCCATCCACCAGAGTGTTTTCCAGCTTTATGTCACGGCTTACTACACCCTCACAAAGGCCAATCAAACAGCACAATTAGGTGCCCACAACATCTGGGAAGGTGCACAAAGGCATGGACAAGCACAACCATTCAATTTTATCTGAAACCTCCAATATTGGCACAACTTTCTGAAGGGGAATCAGTTGCTGTGCTAGAGAGCTTGGAGCAACAATGCAAACTCCCATGTACAGGCCGGGCACAGCAGCAGCATGGAATATCGTACAACAAGAATGCCCAAAGTCTCTGGTTCTTTTTGTGTTCCTGTATTCCTGTAACACAAGCTCGATTTCACGCACCAACAGACACCAGGCGGCAGTTTGAGGGCTGTGAAATGCATGCAAACCAAAAGCAAAGGATGTGTTCCTGAGAACAAGGATAAAGAACAAGTGACAGCGAGATTTGTCCATACCATTTTGTGGCAGTAATCCAAGCCCATCATGAGCTGTTGGAAGAAGTGTCTGGCTTCATCCTCTGTCAGGCGCTTCCTTGCTTGCACATACGAAAGGAGGGTGCCCCTTTCTGCATATTCCATCGCAATGCACAGGTTGCCTGCCGTCAAAAATACCTGCAACATTCCAAAAGCCATGATGACTGCAGACCTCTGAAACCTGTTCTAACTGTACTCCTTCGATTCCTGCCTGCTCAATCACCGATTCCTGGAACGTCCCTGCATACCCCAGGGCCTCCATCCTCTTCTGGCTACGAAGACCTTGCCTGTCCTCCCATGCATCTACAACCTCACTCTCCCACCATGCAAAATCTGGCACTTCTCTGAGTGTCAACATATAGCAATGGAATTTGACAGCGTATGAGTGCACAGAGCATCTTTCGGCTTCCCAACACAGCTGATCATGTTTCAGGCCATCACTTCTTCTCCTTGCCTTCAAGCCCCATGCTGCTCATACTCAGCATGTAAATGGCATTGCTGCTATTCAGTTGGAAGGGCGCATTGATTGCTGGACAGAAATACTGCTGCACTTGACTAACAAAGCTCAATGGCAAATGCCAGCAAGATGGCAACACATGCCAAAGGCTCACCTCGTTGAACCGAATGACATGTGGATGGCACAGCATTCTGAAACAGCAACACAAAAACATGTGTCAGCGAGCACAAGCATCAGCAAAGCTGACTGTCTTGTTGGTCTGAGACAGAAACTCTCTTGCAGATTCAGCCTCAACCAAAGCAAGATGACCACTTGCAAATGTTTTCTGTTTCTTGGTTGCACTAGCAGGGCAAGCCCATCACCACAAACAAACCAGCACACGTTGCACAAACTTGCAAACACATTGAAGACCTGTTGGCAGAAGTGCCAGTTGTCCATGCTCCACCCTGCCACATGCTAAATCCTCGCTATCAGCATGCTCCTTTCTTCTCCCTTTTGACAATGCTTCATTTCGCACACAGCTGTCACCTGTGATTGAGCACCTCGCGCTCCACACGATCATTCGTCTGCATGAACGCAAGACATGCACTTCAAACCAAACGTGAGTACTTGCTGGAGAGGGCTCTTCAAAGCAATTTTCAATCCTGCAATGCACAGCCAGGGCTGTCGACACTAGTTGGAAGAGACAACTAATTGCAAGGTGGGAGGATGAGAAGGATAAGAGGCTATCTAAACACCTTGAACTGTTTGTGTATGTTCTTGAAGTGTCTGCTGCACATCTGCCGAACAAGCAAGTGCAGCATAGCTGCAGCCCAAATTGACACTACAAGGGAACACTGCTCTAACACCCACTCACTGGAAACAGGAAATGCACATATTTGGCATCACTTGGCGGCTAACAACGCGCAGCTGGGACAAGAACATGGTGGCTGGTGGGGAGTTTTGCGGCCTATCATGCAGCTGCGCTGTGTGAATTCTTTTTCTTGATTCTTGCTTGTTTGCCAGGTAATCGGCACTCATAGCTTGCACATAAGAGCTGGTCCGTGCTATCCTATTCTACTGTTTATCTCCAATATCAGCGTCCCAAATTTCCAAGTTTTAAGGTCCTTATAGTGCATCAGTCTGTGCTCAACCTAATATCATAACATCAACGTCCTAGGCAGTCCCAAATGTCCAGATTTCCTGTTCATGGCCCCATCAAACCTTGCTGCCAATTTCTGCTTCAACCTTTGCTGTTTGAAACGAACATAAAACATGATAATGTGGGGAAGTTGCTCATGGTCCGATTGGTTCTTGACAGATTTCTGCAGCCGTGTTGCTAAATCACCACTGAACGAATTGCCTTCACATTGCTCCTTGAATAACAACCTATTTCTGCCACAATCCCCTTTGAGCGGATTGCTGCAATGTTTTGCCAGTAATTGTCCAAAACGCTTCAACCCTCAAGCTCCATAAGCTTCACTGTGAAGGAATACACTGCACCCTGGCCAGTGCATCTACCATGCATCAATAAACCACTGTCCACTCCCTGATTTCGACAGCACAGCAAGCAAAAACTCCAAATTCAGCATAATTCAGACACAAGATTCCCAGTCAGGGTGCAATTTCAGAGTGCATCCATCAAGTGTTGGCGCTCTGGTTGTTGCTTAACCTTGCATTACTCAGCAACGTGCAGACCCCTACAACTCTAGAAATCGGTGCTGCATATTGTTCAGCAATCCCCGTACTCCACTGCCAGTAGCTCGCTGCACCAATTCACAAGTCCATTATGACGTAATATATCCGAGTACAAAAAGAAATGTTGTGCAGTGGCTGATATTGCACCACAGTTGTGAAAAATACCAGGTACGCCACATACTACGATGCTGCCATGCGGTACGACTGCTCATATGTTCACGTACGCTTAAACTGACTTTCTTCCTATCGATATCGGTATGCTACCCAAATTTGCCCCAAACCACATGATGCGGATAAGCTGGCCGTCCAAATTCGAACGCAACCTCGATGCCCACGATGCCAACGTAAGCAACAACATAAGTCAACAAATCGCTAGTTGAACAGCAAGAGCACTGAATCCCACCCTTACCTGCGCCCGTCGAACGCAATTGCACTCGTTGCAGGATCGACCTCAACCAAGATCAAAAACATCACCGGTGCCAGGGTGATCAGAAGCAGGTTGCGCCAGCACACAATGCGGTTCAGGCCGCATTGCGCGTGCGTGTCCAAACGGGAACCCCGCACAACCCCAGGGGGCCCTTCGGCGCCGCGTCGGGACAACACTCTTCCCACCAGCTGCCCCAGGCCGCCCGCCTCCCCACGCCAACAAATGTCCCAAGAGTCCCTCCACACCAAATCCTCACCCCCAGCAACAAAAAAAGGGCTGGGCAGGCGGCAGGCTTGTTCCACGTCCATCCAGCCCGCCTTTGGCACGTGTGTTTCAGCGGCGCGGTGCTCCAGGACGCCCACCAGCCCTCCCCCCACCCGCCCCGGCCACCCCTTCACTCACCTTGCCGCCGCGCATGATCATCTTTATGGCTACGGGTGCGTCGGTGGCCCTCTCGCGCGCCAGCACCACCACGCCATAGGCGCCCTTCCCGACAACCTGGACCTGGAAGCAGCACCCGAATGCGGGCGAGGGTCAGATGCCCGTGGCCAAGGTTTTGCCGAGAGGTGCTGCCCTTACAAAAAGGGGACCCGCGAGCAGCCCGGACAGCAGGAAGGGCAGCAGGAACGCAGGAAAGGGCGTGGGGTTCCTACAGGGTGCAAATCCGTCGTTTCTGGGGTTCTGGGGATGGGCGGCAGGGCCCCTGGCTGCAACCTACCGCCCTGTACTTTTGACTGTCCCGCTCGAGCTCTTCCAGCTCGCTCTTGTCGTTGGGAGAGCGCCCCAGGGTCGCCATCGGAGGAGGGGTGCCCGCTGCTCTGCCAAGCCCCGCAGTGGGAGACGGGGAATGTAAACGCGAGGCGGGCCTTTGCCAAGGGAAGTAAAAATCAGCTATTGTCGATCAGGTGCTGGTGATGTGGACCCCTGAAGGGCAGTGCAACGTGCAGGGGTGTTGGAAGACGAAGTGGCTGAGCAATCGTGGTTGGAGGTGCGTGAGTAGGGCGACGGTTTGTCGACTGCAGAACACGTGCAAGAACTCAAAAAACACAACCGGAAACATGGAATGCATACACCGGAGAATGCCCAATCCCAATGGAACTCGCATGGTGGCTGGAAGGCATGTCGCGCTTGGCCCCAAGCCGTGTGCTGTCATGTGCCACAAATCTGAGAACGTGGCAAAATGGGAAGAAGGAACATGACTTGAAACCTCGACAGGAGTCGATCATCAGGTGTGAGGGCTTGGCGAAGTGAAATGGCAAATTGAGTTTGCTCATTTCAATAATCCTGGACAGCTTGCTGCCCGGTTGATGATCACCTTCCATTTGGGCAGTCTGGCCAGGTTGGCGATCATTGAGAAGATCACTAGCCTGTCAATGGCCCAAATTCGCGGGACTGCGAATCTGCGGCGAAATTCGGCTTGCAAGTGGAGTCAAACCAATGATAGCGCGGTGGTGTCCTGCCCTGCCCACTCGAGCCTACGAGAGCCTTGAACGGGCGAAACACTCCTCCACGATTAACGATGCGCCAGAAACATGGGAGGCAGCCCATCGAATCGGTGGAAGCTGAAAATGCGTCCGCTAGGAAACGGTGATCGGCGATAAGCGCCAGTTGGAAGCGCTTACTTGTTGTGATCGAATCCGACTGTTGTTCACTCGACCAAACCAGGGCGCATGTAAAGCACCGTACACGTCCAGGGCAGGTGGGGCCCCACCAAGGGAAATTCAGGGGAGTTTCAGATTCGAACTTTCCCTGTTCTGTCTCGTTTAGAGAAGTAGGGCTGCAAAGTTCCACAGTATATGTCCGATCAAGTGTGCCTCAGCTAATGGCTGCCAAATCACAACATTGTGCTTACTTAAGCCAGCAACTAACATGACAATGCCAGATCATCCATCGAACTTCAAGTTGTGTGTAGGGCCACCACACGCCAGCGCCTCATGAAACTGAGAGCATTTCTCGCATAATAACTGCTCGTCTTGCACCCTTGCATTCAAAATGGGAACGCATCTCGCCAATCAAAGGCGCACCCTTGCTGCATCTTCCATGTCAATTGCTGTCCCTGAGTTAATCCATTCCATTCTACACGTCCATCGCATGTCATGTATCCACTCGCGTACTGACTTAGTGCCGATCGTCCATGAACTGAATCTGCAGCCCTTCCAATCCCGTTACTATGATGAAATCGTATTGCGTGCACTTTTCTTTTATTTGAGCCTCATCGTCTGCGACATTTTCCTCATAGAACAGATGTTGAATTTCAATAGAAACCCCTCGCTTTTGCTCGAACCACATCGACCTTGGCATCCCACGCCTTATGCAAGGTGGATAAGGTTTGTCTGTTGTAGTCAAGAAAAGAGCGGCATGAAATACAGCGCAACGATATCGCGATGACATTGCAGCAATGTTCCACGTCCCCTTCTAGTGCTCTGGATGTTCAGCTACTTTCTTTGTTTCTCTGCAGGTTGCTCTTACGGCGCACCATTTCCTGACATATTCATGCTTAGACAACCTGCAGATTGTCATCAGCGATCAGCTGGTGGCTTGCGGCATCCTATAGTCGAGTGAAACAGGCTATGTATAGAGCTCGAGATGGTTTGGGCTGCGAAATGCTCTGGAAAGGAGCTTGTGGTCCCATGCTTCAGGCCAAACTGTATGGCTGAAATGACGCTCTATTGTTTGGCCAGTGTTTGTAGGTCCTGAATGAATGATGGCGCAATTTAGCTATTCACCACAGCAACGGCAGTTAGTATGCCATATATAGAAATTATGTACGGTAGCTGTTGCATGCCATAGACTAGAGTACACTCCCTTTCGGCATAGAGTGTAGACTGCACATGCTATGGTTGTTACAAGTAGCAATATGTATCATATACCCTCTTGGGACAGTTGATCACATACTTAACAGCGCTTTGCTATGCATTTTTTTCCAGACACAACAACTACATGTAAGTAGCAACAATGCAGCTAACATATCGATATGATACAATACAATTATATAGTGATACAATAACATGGGATATGCCTGGCAAATTGGGAAAATCTAAAGGTCCAAAACGCGGAATGTGTAGAAATGAAATTAGCTATCTTCTTCATAGGTTTCCACCAGGGACCACGATGGGTGCGCTGCGCCGATGATTCAAATCGGTAGCGGTTTGATTCAATCTGGCTTCTGGCCGCTCTAGTACCCTAGGTCAGTCAAAGTGCGTAGTTTCCAAGGTGCTGTCAGTTTGGCGCCATTGGATTTGGCGGACTTTGGCGGGGCTGAGCGGGAGCAGCTACTTAGGCTCCCCCTCCGTCCCCCTCCTATTTTGTTTCGCACCCGGCCCTCCTGCCCTGGAAAGTGGAGTTCGGCTGAGTTGAGGTAGAGGGAATGTGTGGAACGAAGTGCTGGATGAGGGGCCTGAATCAGGGCTGAGTCACAGGAGAAAAGTGGCGTGAAGTATGTGCAAAGCGAAAGGGCACGCTGTAAAGTACGGGAACCTCGGTTATTTGAGGCAAATGTTGACGGACACCCTTTTCACAGAGTTTTGTAAATGTCTTGGCATGTGGGGGAACATGACCGGGTGGGTTCATGAGACCGGTCAGGCGGAAATTGCCACTAACGTCGATGCAAGCAGAAATTGACGTTTGAGCGTAAGCCGGTGAGTTTGGTCGCAGCAACTCCTTTGCTGTCAGCCGTGACTTGGGCCCCGGCGTCGCCAGGCCGCAAGGATGCCGTCCCGCGCGATGGGTTTCGGAGACGCCGGGCGCATGAGCGCATTGGCTAACTTGGGCGCTGCTTCCGCAGTGGAACTTTCACTGCTGCGGGGGCCGCCACCCCATGGACGGCTCATTTTTCCACCTTCCAAGAGCCGGCAACAATACACACATGGTCTCTGAACATTTCCGACGCCCACTGTGCGCCTTCTTGCTGACAAGAGGGGGCCGCCATGCTTCGGCATGCCCGTGCGTTGCAACCCAGGAGGACTAGGTTCTCAACAGGCAAGCTCGCTATCGTCGACTAATCCATGCCTCGTGTGGCCGTGATGCCACAATGGTCCGTCCTAAGACTCCGAGACAGAGCCAATGCCGTTCCTGCAATCCCAGCTTCCCTCCACGGGGCTGGGCTGCTCGGCCAGCACGTCATCGATCCTGCTGAATTGCCACGGCCATCGCACGTTGTACAGGAACTGCCGGTGGTCGAACCTGTTGTCGTCGGGGGAATAGTTTTCCGCGTGGTAGGAAGGCGTCAGGGTCGTCGCCTTGTGGCGGTTCATCGCATAGTGCGTGAAGAAGTGCTTCACCTTGTCGGCGATGGCGGCTGCCGGGTAGGCGTGCGACCACTGCTGCAGCAGTTGGCGGAACATGGAAACGGGGCCGCAGCGGGATATTTTGCGCAGGCGTCCAAACATTGACAGCTCCTCGTACGTCATCCCCATGTCTTCTTCATCGGTCTGAGCCAAGGTAAACGCACATCAAACTTCTCAGGCATCAGACTTGAACCTGCAGAAGAAGAAGATTTCCTACATACGGTGTTACGACGAAAAATGCGCATGTCACCGCTCGTGCTATACCCACATCCTGCCATCCTGCGCCTTTAGGAATTCTGGAGAGGTTCGTTTGTACATTCCTAGGTGGCATGCGCATGGAAATTTTTCTCGTCCTTGTGGTGTTCCTGTCAACAGGCTGTTGGCAACGGGTTGCCGCAGTAAATTGGGCAAACTTCTTGGCAATCGTATCCCGAGGGCACAGCCCACAAACAAAGAAAAAGAATGTGCCGGGTGGCACGTGGCGGCCACGCAATTGACCGAGATTCAATGTCGAATTCTGAATACGAACGCTGGCGCTGTCAAGGCAAACGAGGGCGCAAACGACACTCAACGCACACAAGTTGCGCCAGAACGCAGCCAGCAACCCTGCGGGTATCCAAGCTGCGCCCAAAAAAACACGGAAGCTCCGAACACCTTCAGCACGTGCCAGTCTCTCCCGCCTCACTCAATCTACCTGTGCTATTTGTCCATCCCTCAGAGGCTCCAGCTCCGCAGTGGGTGGGGCCGCTTCGACCTGCTCTAAAACTGGGTACCCAAGGTTCCCCGCAGCCCACTGGAGGAATCTCCGAATGTCCTGGGAACACGACCTCAGATCAACACCGCAGTTCATATCCCCACAGTACAACGCAGCCAATATAGGCCGAACGGACCAGCTGCACCCGTGCGCATTGCACACTGGCTGAATGCCCAGGGGTGCACAAATCACGGGAAGGCAATCCGGTGACTGTGCGTTGTTGACGTTTGAAATAGGCAAGGACCGCCACCGCAACCAAGTAGGCAAACTGCAATTCTGAGGCACAGAATTCTGCTGTTGGCTACGAGTGGCATCCGCGTACAGCACTGGCCGCTTCACGTCTTCAGTTCACCAGCTACACACAAACTCCGAATTCGCCGAGGAATAGCGCAAGAAGGATCACAAACAAGAGGTGCGGACCACTGGAAGCCAAAAGACGACCGCTGCCAATTGCTACTGCAGCTGCTCTGTGCCCCAACCCGCCCAACCAGAGGCCCAAATTATATTCTTTTCATTCTATTCTATTTCTTTTTTCCATTCTTTTTTTGGATGAGCATTCCTGCGAACAATCATTCGGGAGTTACACCGTCGGCGCGAACTTTCTTAAGAGTGGGGGCAAGATCCACATATCTGTTGAGAGAAGGGGGTCGGGTTTGGAGGAAGGGCTGGACTCTTAATTTGATGCAATGATTTGAGTGGAAAACAGCAACAGAACAAGGCAGCAAGCATGCAGCCAGTCGAGTTCGGCGACGTTGGGGGGGGCAGCCTGCATCAGCTGCTTAAAGGAAGTAATTCATCGAAGAACGGAAGACTGGAGAACCTCGTGGATACTTTGGGGTGTGCGAATCAGCTTCGTCCCAAGCAAGGCGTGCATGCATGTCAACGGAATATTAGCCGCGATATGGAAAGATGTGTAGGCGATTCGCCAGCACTTAAATTCCGTGCAATTTTTGGGTTCCCTACCGTCCATTTTGAGAGTGATGAGGTCATTTTGGATGGAAGAAAGTTCACTTTCTAGTGCTCTGAATTTTGCACACTATTTTTAGCGATCTGAAATGTGGTACGATTTGTCATGCAAGAAAAATCGCATAGCTATAATCCCTGCGAACAATCGTTGTCCACAGCGACTGCATGCAGAAAGTGGGAATTGCAAGAATAAGAACGTCAGCTTTACCCCATGTTGCCATGTGGGCCTGGGCGATGAACCCCAGTTGGGCCTTGTACTTGAGTTCTGATCTACCAAAGGACAGCTACGTGCGGTGACTACCCCGCTGTGTAGAGAAAATGAACTGACACAACACAGAAAGGCCAAAGAAGACTCTGCAAATGAACCCCCACCTGCTTACTGATCCCACCGATTGGGTTGATATCGGCGCTGCTGCAGTCGTATTTGGTGAGATACCCCCTCAGCCCTTCATCCACATTAGCCGATCCCAACACCAGCATGAAACCACTGCGGCCCCTCACCCACGGGAGAAGCTGTGCGAAAAGAAACGACACAACCATGCGGAGGCGAGCCTGGATGTTCTGAAGAGCCAGGTTCTCTGCTCTCGTGCCACCATCAGTCACAAACCTCGGGGTCTTATTGGTGACCATGGTGAAGAGGCGCACGACAGCCTCCACAAGCATGTCAATTCGCATCTGCAGATGGTATGAGCCAATTTGTTCAGCCAGCATCTTAGACCTGCAATAAACATTCCCTACATGTCATGAGCAGAAATCCAGACGATGGACACGAGTTGAGAAGGGCGTGTGCCCCTCTCAACCTCAGAATACCCCATGCTTGTGCCTTGATGTCGTGAAGGCAACGAGAAATGGCTACAGTTTGTGCAGCCCAAAACAATCAAGAAGGGCCAACCTCATATGGAATGGCATATAAAGCATGTTGATCGGCAGAACAGGAGTACTCAAGACCCTAGCAGCAGCAAAAGTAAACAAAAGGTCAGTTGGCACCTGGATTCTTGTGTACGCTTGATGTGAATGCAAACTGGGTCCACATTTTCAATGCAGGCTTGTCAATTGACAACACTGCAGTGTGCATGTTGACTTTTACTTTCATTATTATCTCGCATGCATGGGCTTCCAGACTTCACATATTCCACATCTGCTCGGCATCAGTGATGGCAGTGGGGTTGGGGACACATGAGCTTACAAATTTCCTTGCTGATCGACAGTGGCATGGTGGCCACAGTGCAGCCCCAAGAGGCTCTACAAACTACGTTTGCTCCTTGCCTAGACCACAGCCTACAACTATATAGATTGCATACTCGGATATCCGTTCATTGCCACAGACATGCCCAATCTACTGTCACAATAGCCGAAGCGCAGAAACCAACCAACATACCTCAATCGTGTCTCCTCAGAGCTATTAACTGTCCCCAAGTACAGGGTGGTGAAAATGCGTTGTGCTAACTCCCTTGCATTATCGATTGGCTCGCCAGGGCCATACTGGCCAATCCTCCGGGCATCCTCCTCCACCTCGAGATTGCCAGATCCAACTGCCTTGACAACCATCTGCAAGAACACTCCAAGCAAATTTCAATGCACTTAAGGCACATGCACCAGGGAGCTGTCAGGCACATGCCATGTGGTGAATTCTCTTGTGGGACGTTGCACCTGCAGTGCCTATTATGCTGCATGTCTGCTGCACGTAAATGGAGGATTCAGTTATAATTCTTGCAGCAACAAATGCTCCATGGGCAAATGGCATCCACTTTGGAAACACAAAGATATGCACAGCAGCACAAGCACTGAATATTGCTTCTGAAGCAGCTTCTCCTGCCACCATCTGGAATATGCAATATCGGTGATTTCTCACTTTTTTCAATACATGGAATCTAGGGATGGACACTCTTGCTCAAAATTGCATTCAAGCGATTATATTGAACATGTAGCCCCACAAGTCCCAACTCCACCTAATCCAACACGAGTGTGAGGTGGCCCATTGCTCTGTACAGACTGCTTATCCATTACCTGACACATGCAGCCCACTATGGCAGCTGTGGAGGAGCTGTCAGCACCTCCCGATAGTGGAAGCAGATAGCCCGACGCCCCAGACCTTCTCAAGTAGTCCCACAACCAGCAAGCTGGCCCATAGGCCAGCTCCTCTTCAGGAGCATGTATTCTGCAAACCCATGCATATCAATACACATATCCATTCACAGCATGCAGGTGGCTTTGTCATGCTGGGATGCACCAGACACAGCCTCTGGATACACATGTGGGGCAGGGCATGGAAGAAAACAAAACAGTGCACGCAATGCCGTGACACAGAGCGCACATCTGGTGTTGCCACAATGCTCTCCAAGATTGTGCATGAGGCTATAAGGAAAGATGATATTGCAAATGAACTTCAAGGTCCAAACACGTGAGACAGCCCGTTCTCCAGCATATCAACCCTGTTTGGATCAATGCGGACTCGTCTCCACTCCTGTGGTTATAGCTACGGTTCTGTGTGCTGCCTTGACAGTGAGAAGCATTGCTGCGACTCTCACTCCTTGGACTTATCAAGGCAATTGTGCACAGTCAGCAGAGCAATGCTTGCACCCAGGCAGAAAACAGTGCATCATCAATGGATGCGTCTGCACCAGAATAAATGCAGCAGTGTCCACTCCACTCTGCCAAGCAAGTATTTACTTGGTTGGATATTCAATTTCTTCACACAGATGCACGTTGTCCCTGCGATGTCTTTATGGTGACCACAACACACAGGGGTGTATCGTGCCAGAATGCACCCAACCTGTGCTACACAAGGTGTGACAGATATTGATGTGTTATCACCAGCCCCATGTAGATGACCCAACAATGCAAAATCCATCAATCCATAAAAGCTATATAACATAATCCTCAACTCAGAAGGACACACCTAAAAGTCGCTGCTCACAGCATATCCATTACCTTGGCTGTATCGGCTGTGTCGTCCTTATTGCTTTGGAATGGCTGTTGCACAGATAGAAATCCACATGAATGCTGATGGGCGCCTTGCAGCGGGCAGCCTGATCTCTCACACTGCTCACAGCACAACGCATGGACACAACCTCATCCAGGTCCACACAGGCAGTGATGACCTCCACATCGTCCAATCCGAACTGGCTACCCTGAGCAAGCAATTTTCCATTCATAGCGATGCATGCGCAGCCATCGTAGTACAGCCGGCCACCGTCGCAACCACGTTGATTGGAGTAAAGGTACACACCACCACACTGGGACAGCACAATCGCTGGTTGAAGAGTAAGCATTATAACTCAAAAAATGAGAATCGGGTGTGCTGAACAGAGGCAATATTGTTGCATCCATAGCATTTCTGGTATCAAAAGTGCAAACAAAAGGCCACTGGCAGCTGCAATGGGCAATAATATCATGTGTTTGGAAGTAGGTCACAACAAGAAAGGAGACACAGGTAGCTAATTGAACTATGACAGCCAACATCCGATCTTTGTCCTGCTTCCGCATCACCGATTTAGGCATGTTGTGAATCACTGGTAAACAGGTGCTTAGTCATCCAGCAACACACACAGTGTGCACCACTGCATCTATCGATGCTCAAGTGACAGCCGTTCTCTTACGCTGAGCTGTTCACCAAACTGAACCTGTGGATGTTAATAACTTGCATAGTAGCTAAGAAATGGCCGAGCGAATGTTTGAGCCCAGCCTGCACTTGTCAATTTTCGATAATTGTTCTTTTTTGGCGTTCCATAAATTGGCAACTCTGAAAACACACAAGGAAGCAGCACATGTGTCCATATGTCAAATTGTGGAAAACTGGAAATTCATTGGCAACCTGACAAGTTGTTCCAGGTGTCAATCCCACATGCATCTGGCGCAGAAAGAAAAATCGCCCACCAGCCATTGTTGGGACTTTTCAATGCTTGGCAACGCACCTTAGCAGTTGCATTCATGATCAGGTCCAGCCTCGTGTCCAGTTTCCTCAACTGATGGTGGCTGCCGCTCCCATTGCTGATCACCTCCACTCCACCCAACGAAAGACCAATGTGGGGGGCATTAGGAGTGAACAACTCCTCACAAGTTTCGCTGGCAATGATTGCATCATTGAAAGCCAGGATGGCATCACCAAAGGGGCACGTCTTTTGGTCTGTGAGACCTGATATTTCGAGTGGCAGCCAGTGCTCGTCAACCTCGCCAGGTCTCTGCCAGGCTGAGAAATACCGTCCCTCCCTGTAATTGCCATCGTTGGCAAGCTCCCTCTTGGGTTGAATGAAGACAATTTTCTGATTGTAGACGAATACACGGCAGTTGTATCGCACCCCTGGCAATGATGTAGTCATGGATGCATGCACCATGTCAATAGATGGCACAGCTCATTTGAGTTGTGGCCCATAGCCCGCAGCCATCACAAGGGGCCTTACACCAATGGGGAAGTGATGCTGTTCCAGATGCACCACAGCAACAGCTCTCTTCTTTGCCGTGATCTGGAACTCTGTTCAGCAGCTTCACACATTCCATAAGGTAATGTTGGCTGCTCAGCGCTATCCAACTTATCCCATAGCACACTCAAGGAAGGAAAAATTGCCTGCAACAATTTGTTTCAGGCCGTTGTTTATCATATTTTGGCAATTCCAGTAAATGAAAATGTCCATGGACTGTATTGGGATCGCTTTCTTACCTGCATGAATGACTGGCATGCCAATATCACACACAATGCCGTCAGTGTAGCCCTCATGTAAGAGTTCCTGCGGCATCAGTGCGTCACTATTATCACTGTGGCTGGCAAATGCACCATGCACCATCTTTGTCTTTTCCACCCCGGGTTCAGCCTATCGTCAAAGCCAACTTCATGCATGACATACACAACGTAGACATGGGCTCACAACTTGCTTCCACACAATGGGAGGACCCATTGTGGAAGGCTGAGAGGCAGCCACAAGCCAGCATTGCTGGACTGGGTTCAGATGTAATGAGCGCAAAAAGACAGAACTGAGCAAAAATATTCAACCCTTTTGCAACAGAAAATTTCACTGTTATTATTTTTGCTCAGCACTTTTTCGACAGACCACTATTTTGGGGGCTCTGCATCATGGCAACCGCCGGAATGGCGACTCAAGTCAGTTTCCGTAGCCTCAAAAGTCGGCTTTCCACCACAGTGACTCATGCATCTGGGGCTGCTAGATGCCGCGAGCAGTCCAGAGACCCTCGCGATGTGGCTGGGGCTGCTCTACAGACTCTTGGCACTGTTAGGTTTTTATTATTGCTCTGCACAAAAACAGGTCAAACGTAACACTATGCAGAAGGGTTGAATATTTCGTGGTGGGCTTCAAGAAACTTGGGAACAGACAATCGCCTGACTTCAATTTCAATCCACAGCAAAACAAAGTATCTGTGAGTGCTGGCAAGTTACTCTTGGTGGCTTTGTTGCCCCTTTCAATGGTTTCCCTTTCATTTCCCATCAGCAATGGTTTCCATTAGAGTCGGTGGACTGATTCTTGGCAGGGTACTCGATGGTCCAAATGCAAAGAAACTCATTCGTGTGGGCATGTGGTTGTGTGTTGGTGCATCATTCCATGGTATATAATGTAGCACATTCTTTCTGCTTTGAAAACGGTGAGCTGTTGTTACAACAGCCCAAATCACAGCAAGCAGATCAGCACAGTGGGAGATCAGAGGCAGGGGAGTCTGATATCATTGATATCTCCATTGCAGGTAATAATAACAAGTCAAAGGATAAACTAACATGCAGCATCCAGATGATATGGCCCAAGGCAATTATCAGCAATGTGCAAAGTCTCCCAACACAAGGGCACGCACCAATACCATTCAAATTGTCAACAACGACTCACCCTCAAACACTCCCAAGCGTGCTCCACAGTGTCCAGCTCGCAGAAATGGTCTTCACAGCCATAGCCAGGCAATTCCAACTCTGGTCCCACCTGCCATTAAGCTGTGGTATCTTCATCAGGCCCACATTGTATGGAGTCTTAAGAAGGAAGACTGGCCATGCATTAAACAAAACCTTTTCAACCTCTTTGCATCATATCGGGAAATACAGGGGTCACCAGCTAGGTGACCATGCCTGCTCAAGCGACCTGGACAACACCCATTTGAGGCAAAAGATCTACACCCACAGGACCTTGCTTGCAAATGAGCTCAAACACAGCAATGTACCAGGGAAATCAATTGGGGCAATCCGGCTGCACCCACTGAAAGTAACACATGCCAGCACTTCTGTCACTCAATAAGGAGGTGTGCTTGGTGTGGTACTCAGTTTTGATGCAGAAGACAATGCAGCAGTTGAAAAGGAAAAAAAATGCAAGAAGCATAGGCAGTCAGGAATCTGTGCTGCACACTGCATCCACCATCCAACAATTAAATGCAAGACCATAGTTTTTAGCAACACCTCTCCTTCAATGGCACACATCCTTCATTCCATAGCACATGTTTATATTTGCCCGTTCGTGATTCTTGCGTTGTGTTATTACTGGGCTGTATTTCAAGAGTGACTCTATGGTCACCTCTGCTGCAGAATCGATGCACTACCCAAAGAAGCAAAATGTGAATACCCAGGCAGTAGTACCGCATGATCTTTGCCGCCTTTTGGCTCTCTGGTGGCATCGTGCCCAGCAATGGACACTGGAGGATGATAACAATGCAAAGGAGATTCTCTTCACGGTCACAGCATAGCATGAACAGCTGATGCTGCTTCGCTTTCTAGTGCATTGTGAGGTACCGCCAAAATTTTGTTGTTTCTTGCCACATACTGCTGAAGTAGCGCACACCGGAATTCCAGGATTCGAGAAATCCCGCCTATCTGCTGCTGCCCTCCACATGCATAGAAAAAACGTCGCAATTGTGTTTCACGTGTGAAGCAGCGATTTGTAAAAATGGGCGGTTGCACTATTGAATGGTTTGAAGGCATCCCTGCCTGGTAGTCATAATAAAGACCTGAAAAATCAGGGCACCGCTGGGGTTATCGGCCCTTGAACGAACAAAACTGAATTGTAAACAGTACTGATTTGGAAATTTTCTTTCTCAGCTGCTCAGATTCGCATAGTTTTAGGTTGTGGATGTTCATTGCGAAGGATCGCATGCCCACTGTTGCAGACGTGTTAAATCCATTCGGTGCACAGTTCCCAACTTCGTGCCCTTGTGTGCCCTACGCGTCGGCGTACTCTGTATGTCGCTCCCATGCTCTTGGCTTCGACGATCGACCTTCTGACCCTGTCCAGGTTTCCCTTGAAGTCCATTGACCACTGATTGAGGTTGCACGCGGCAACCGTTGCCAGTCTGCGGCCCATTCCGGCGTCCAGGCAGCCGCAACGGCGGCAATTGAGGTTCCAAAAGGCCGGCTCTGGCCCCCTGTGTGGGCGCGTGAGGGCGCGTCTGCGGACCCGGCCTGTGGCAGGACACCCAAGGCCGTGGATGGAACAGCTGCTGAGCAGCCAGTACACCATGCTTACAACATCCTTACCCTGCGCAAATCGACCACCAGCATTGGGCGAAAAAAGCGCAGACTACCACAAAACCGGCGCTGTTGGTCGGCGCAAACCGCACCCACCGCCTCTCCTCCCGCCACCACCGGTGCCGCTCCGCCAGCGCCCTTCCGCCGCGCCATGCTGTCCTCCCCCCAGCCCGCGGCGCGCCTCGAGGCGCAAGGCGCGGTGGTCCCCCCCCTGCAGGATGCACCGCGCATTCCGGGCTCGATGGCCGGGCCCTCGTTCCTTTCCGGCTCCCGCCTTTCCCATCCATCCCCGAGGGCCAGGGGACAGCAGCGGCGTGGCGCGGCGACCGTCGAGGCCAACCTTTTCTCGCGCGTGGCGCGCATCGTCAAGTCTTACGCGGACGCAGTGGTAACGGCGGCCGAGGACCCCGAGAAGCTGCTGGACCAGACGGTGAAGGAGATGCAGGAGGACCTGATCAAGATGAAGCAGACGTCGGCGTCCGTGATCGCGTCTCAGAAGTCGATCCAGGCCAAATACGAGCAGGCGCAGTCCGCCGCGGACGACTGGTATCGGCGGGCGGACCTGGCGCTTGAAAAAGGGGATGAAGAATTGGCCCGGGAGGCGCTCAAGAGGAAGCGCAGCTATCAAGAGAGCGCGGACGGGCTCAAGAAGCAGCTGGCCTACCAGGCGGACGCGGTGCAGACGCTGATCGCCAACACGCGCAAGCTGGAGAGCAAGCTGGCGGAGTCTAAGTCGAAGAAGGACACCCTCAAGGCACGGGCGCAGTCGGCCAAGGCGTCCAAGGCTGTGAATGAGATGGTGGGGTCGCTGTCCACCAGCACGTCGGCCGCGGCGTTCGATAGGATGGAGGAAAGGGTGCTGCAGATGGAGGCTGAGAGCGAGGCCACGCAGCAGCTAGTGATTGGGGATGAGTTGGAGGGGAAGTTTGTGGAGCTGGAGGGAGGGTCCGTGGAGGACGAACTGAGGGCGCTGAAGGACAAGAAGCTGCCGGGCGGCACGGTGAGGGCGCAGCTGCCGGAGGGCCGACCGGTGAAGGACGCTCTGGACGCGGAGCTGGACGAGCTCAGGCGGAAGGCGCGGGATTGATTGGGATGGCATTGAAGTGTTCGGGATGGCATTGGGGCCCAAGTGCGCTCCCACGGCGCGCGGGGTGGGAGGGATCTCTGCGCGTGCGGCTCCGCCTGTGCTCGGAGCTCGTTTCGACGGGAGGAGGGGTGGAGGCGGTGTGGCACAGGGGCTGTGACCTGCCTGTGGCCATGGATGCCAGTCGATGCCATGAAGCCAATTTTTTGCGGCGATAGGGTAACCGGCGATCCGACTCAGACTTCGGACAGGCGATCGGGCTTGCTTGGGCGAAACTGGCTGCCCCCAGCTTGTTGTTTGTCTGTTGGGGAGGTTGTGGGCTGGCGGGCGTGCGGGCAAAGGGAGCAGGTCCTGAGAGGCACAGCTTTAGATGTGCTGGGATGGTAATTCGTGGCTGCTGAGTTGCAGAGGAAAATGGACAGGGTTGGTACAGTGGCAACTGAGAAGCAGGCATTGTCACTCGGATCTTTGCCGCATAAACGTTCAGGAGACAGGAAAGAATCCCACGTGGTGTGCTGGCATTCTCTTGATGCTTGTCACATGTTCTGGAGCGGGGCGGTTGATGGATTTTTTCTTGCGTGGGCATTTCTATTGTTGACAATCCAGTTCGTTGGGCTGGAACTTGAGTTCACAGGGGTGTTCTCTGCATGGGTTGTGATCTGATATGATTTGCAACTTTTGAATGGTGCTTGCCAACATCACCTATCCTTGCTGCACCTTTGCCCTGCTCCCCATGCGTTTGTTAGAGTGTGGAAACCTTCTTCCACATTCACTTTCTGCCACAACATAAAAGTCGCATGCTGGAAGACGGATGCCTGTCGAAAACCAAACTGATAACACTTCCTCCACCAGAGCATTAGCTTTGGAGCGTTTCACTTGCCAGCTTTTGAGACAGCTTTTGAGACCAGGCTGCTTCCTTTGTACCTACCACTGGAGCTGATGGCTATCAACGACCTGGTGACAGTCCTGAAGTTTCAATGACCGTATGAGCTATGTTATCTTGGAGAAGCAAGACGACTTTCGAGTTGTTCTGCGAGCTGCAAACACAGCAAGTGCAGCGCGCGAAGTGCAACGTAACATCTGTCATTTGCTGTGGCAACGCGGCACCTACAGCTCGGGTGCTACACCATCAGTCCAGGGCCGTCCGTGGCTCGACAGCTTCTTCCTTTTTTGTACGGCCTGTGATACACTTTGAACGATGTTAAGCCCGCCTATCTGCAGTCAACGGCAATGTCGCAACAGGAGTGAAGGTCCTCTCACACACATCCACAGACATGTTACAGGAAGCCAGTACCATTGTGGCCGAGTACAACGACCAATTTCGAACGGCAACAATGGTCACCAAGTGCCTGCTTGGCCCAAACTTGGAAGTGTGGCATGCAGCCCACTGGCCACTTTCCTGCCTGCTCTGCTGCCCAAACATGTTCTGGTCGCTTGCCGGTGTGTGTGGAACACGACAACCACGCGCCTCTGTGGCCCTTTTCTGAGTTTCTATAGTAATCTCTACCCCTCTGTGACTGTCGAGAAGGACAATCAACTTGTCTACATGCAGTCCAGCCCATTTACGCCGCGTTCTGCACACAGCGAGACACACATCTAGCCTCCTCTGCAACCTTTCATTTATGGAATGATCGATTGAACTGATGCGTGGAGCACCCAGTCGCCTCGGCCCTGCCCAACCCCGTCGTTAAACAGTGCTGTCCAGTCTGACACCGTGGGCTCCCTGCCCGCCACAGCAGCGTCCACAGCGCACAGTCAGCGCGAGAAAGTTCCTCAAAATTCCCAATGCGCGGCGCACAGGCCTGCTGTGCCCACTTTGTCAAGCCCCCACGTCCATCCGTCTCCGAACACAAACACCCGCGAACACCCAGAGCCCCGCCCCAAGCACCCGGATCAGCTGCCCGCCCGGCCCCTGCCCCTCTCCCCCGCCACCGCTCGCCCTCAGCAGGCGGACAGGCGAGCGAACCCCACCCGCAGCCAAGGGCGCCCCTCCACCTCACCCGCCGCAGCGGCACCCAACATTTATGTCAACCCGAGTCCATGAGGCGCGGCGAGCTGCGTTGTAGGGTGTACTACTCGCTTTTGGTGATCTGCTACTTCGAGGTGCGCCCGCGGCTGGCCGGACCCCCCTGCGCTGCTCCTGGCGCGCCTTCCCGGTTGGCCTTCGCGGCCGCTGACTGGCCGCGCCCGTGGGCGCTCCTCGCAGGCCGTGCTGTGGACGTCCTGCCTGTTCGTCAGCGACGCGGCCGTGATCCCCGGAGGTGCCGCCGCCGAGTCACACGACTACATCCTCAGAGAGACCGTGAGTTGAACGATCGCGCGGCCCGCGCCGCCCCCCGCGCGCCCGTGCACGGGCGGCCATTGACATTCCAACAGCGGGAGCGGGTGTCCTGACTGTGCAAGGGCCGGCTCTGGCGCGGCAGGTGAACCTGAAGCTGGTGGAGAGGTCGGGAGAGGGCCAGGACTTCGAGCCGCTGGCCGACCGGGAGCAGGAGATCAAGAGGGCGGACCTGCAGCGGGGACTGGAGTCGGTGTGCGTGCTCCACAAGAGGGAGTCCGAGGGGCCCGCCACGCCCGTCGCGCTGCAGCAGGCGATCGTCGGGCTCAGCAACCTGCCGGTGAGCCGCCCTTGCGTCCCTTATGGCAGGCCGCGACGCCTGGAACGAGGCCTGAAGGATGGGCTGGGGTAGTGGGCGTGCGATGCGCCTTGAATGCACGCTTGAGCGGCGACAGGACGCGCAGCTTGGGGATGAGCGTCCCTGGCGTGCGGAAGGGATGTGCAACCGGCCCGGAAGCGCACTCTGGCCCGTTCCCGTTGGACGGAGCGGGACTGGTTTATGCGTGCGTTCGTCAATTTGGCCCTGCGGCTTCTGGCTGTGCACCGCCACGCCTTCTGATGGAGCACCGTTCCTTCTGAGCCCTTGCGCAGACTCCATTCCTGAACGAAACAACGCGCTGGACATCGCACCAGCTGCCCGCTGGCGCATCCCTTCAGGATGAACTAATGGTCCAGGACAAAGCGTTCGGCACTTTGGGGCTTCAGCAAGTCGAGTTTCAAGAGAGGCGCGCACACACAAACCCACCACCACGGACTGAATCGCCGCCCACACTTCATCTGATTATGTGGACCGTTGGACCTTCTTTGAAGCATTGAGTGCCTGCACGAAACCTTCATGAACGGGGTGGTGCAAACAGAATGCAGGTTATGGAGCTGCGCCAGGCTCTGGTGGTGGTGCCCTTGCTTGAGTGGAGGGATAAAAACCGCTGTGACGGCTGTGGTGCAGGTATTGAACGGTCTCCCTGCCCCATTCTCTGGTGTGGAGGGGTTCGCCTGAGCACCCAAAACAGCCTCTGGGGGAGCGTGTGACGCCTCAACGCTCAAAAGGCAGCAGTGGAGAAGAAAATCTGTTGTGAAGCTCCAGCACCGAGGAAGAGAATTTCAATCTGTAGTAGGGGAGGAAGGTTGGGAAAGAATGAGTCAATTTCTTGTTGGACATCGTGGACGTCGGGGACCGTCTCTGACGGTCCGACAGCAGAGAAGGGGCTTTGCATCGACAACAGCAAGCACACTGCAGAATGTGACAGTCCCTGATGCCCCGCCACTTTCGAAGCCTGCCAGCGACGTTATAGCTGGGGCCACAGCAAGGGCAGCCTCGCAGGCCACTATCCACCCTCTGGACACCCTAAAAGTCAGGATGCAGGCCAAGCCTGTGGCTGGTGGCCTGCGCGAACTGGCTTACAAGAAGTTGGTACAAAGAGGCCCAAAGGGCGCGGCCAAGGCCATGCGCAGCCTATACAGGGGCGTGCTGGGTGCTGCGAGTGGTGCTGGGATCGCCATCGGGGCATACTTCGCCTTTTATGGAGTGGCTACCAGGCTCGTATCTCGCCACACGAACCTGAACCGGAGTGGTGTGGCGTTTGTGTCGGGGGCGGCTGCAGCAGCTGGCTCAAGTGTTGTGAAGGTTCCGTTGGCTGTTTGCATCAGGTCTGTCCAGGCGAAGGTGTACCCCAATCCCTTTTGCGCCGCCCACTCGATCTGCAGGGCCGCAGGACCCAGGGGCCTGTTCACTGGATACGTCCCCACTCTCTTGGAGGACGTGCCGGATATGGCGTTCAAATTTGCTGCGTATGAGAGCTTGAGGTCCCTGCATGCGAGGATTGTTGGAAGGAAGGCCACTCCTCAGGAGGACTTTCTGTGCGGAGCGGCTGCGGGAGCGTTTGCTGCTGCAGCCACTACTCCCCTGGACGTAGTCAAGACTGCAATGATGTGCACGGCCGCACAGAGGCCGTCCATGCTGCTGACTGCGCAGACCGTCTTGCGCAATGGAGGGGTCGGGGCCTTCTTCGCCGGGGTTGGCCCACGTGCTGCGAGCAACGGGATCAACTCTGCTGTGTTTTTCACCATCTTTGAGTGTTTCAGGGGAATCATGGCGAGACAGGCGGCAGCAAGAAAGAATACCGCTATAGCTGGGCGTGCTGTTGATGATGTGGTCCTTGATGTTCACGAGGTGTCCCGCAGCGCAGCTTGACTGGGCTGCAGCCCTCATTGTTTATTGTGTGTTCATTGTGTCCATTTTTACATTGGGTCCAGATGAATATAGTTGTTGGGAGTCGAAAATCGAAATTGAGTTCCTCGCAGTGGCATTTGCTGTGTGCGATTGTTGTTCGCCTACCATAGCCGTGAAAGACAAATTTGGCTGGGAGAATACGAGCTCAGAGGTTTCCTGATGGCTTGGGGGGCAACAGCAACAACGGATGATATCTATTACATGTCCGATGACCATGCCTTTCTCCAAGCTTGCATCTAGCATGCACCACCATTCTGCGTATGGCTTGCTGCCATGGGGGTGCCTTAGCGGCAGCTGCTGCTGTGCACATGCCAGTGTTTCTCCTGATCTGACATTCCCGTGTTGGGTTCGAGGCGTCTGTGAAAGTCCCACTTTTGTAAAGCTTGTATATGGCAATCAGCATTCACGGTGAGAAGCACACGGCTCAATGGCTGTGCTGTGGTTGGAAAGAACATCAACCCGGATCGATCATATGTGCGCCCGTTGCAATGTTCGGGTTCCCTACTATTCGAGCAGCAGGGGTGACCTTGACACTTGCATTTCTGGGCTGGGCTGCGCATCCCGCCGCTGGCGCTATTCCTCGATATGGTCGCAATGTGGGTGGCAACGTTGGGATGCGTATGATGCCATGCAATCCAGAATGAATACGAAACTATGTTACATAAGAATCCTATGGCACACACGCACGTACATGCACAACTTGCCTGCCAAGGAGTTGGACCCTTGAAAACCTATTATCAAATTCTCTTTTGGACGTCACTAATGAGCTGCACCCTTGCAGCCGAAGCGGTTTGCTCGCGCGCTACCTACAAGACATTAGATGCCACAGACATGGGCACACGGACCCAGTCTCATCTGCCAAAACAGCCCCGCAGATCTGCCCCACTTCTTCGCAGGTTGCTTCCTTGTAGAACACGAAATTGGGGATCACGCGTGGCGGAGAGTTGGGCCTCCTCAATCCGACGCAGGGCGTCCCATTCACCTCAGGTCCCTGCCCGTTAGCCTCACTTTCGACAGGGTCCCAGGAGTTTGATCGCCGCCCTCATCGTCAGATTCGGCACAAGCTCCTTGTGAGGCATGGGCTGCTTGGTCATGGGCGACTTGTTGTTCTGCTGCAACCAGCCCTCTATCGAAGAGCGCTCATAGGTGAAACCGTCCGCCGCCACAACCGGATCCACCATCAGCTTGTTGGTGAGAGGACAGCAAAATTGGTTGTGGCCGGGAGCGCCAGGCGCTGACGAGGGTGGCTGAGGCGACCTCCGACGTTGGGCCCTTGGCTCCGGCTTCTGTGTGTCTCCGATCTCCCATGGGTCGTCAGGAATGTTCGCAACAGAGCCCCTCGTCCCAGGATTCGGGCCGCTGTCACCTGCCGCGCTGTTAGCTGATGAAGTTTGTGGCCCGTTCACCGCCCACGGTTCCCCACTGGTCACGCCCATGCGAAGGTGCTTTGGGTACCGTGCACCATCCCCATTCACAGTGCGACCACCCACATGTGGGTAGGGGCCGCTTGGGGCTGGGCTCTGGCTCCACGCTGGCGGGTACATTGTGGGAATGCCTGGCACCGGTTTTTGCAGATAGCCACCTTCGTGCAGCTGCCCTGGTGCGCCCCACCTCGGCATGCCCTGCATATGCGCATACTGATCCCCTCCATCCGCACCCTGGGGCCCGTAGAGGTCGAGGTACTGCTGCTGAGCAATGGGGGGAGGTACAATGGGCTCTCCTAGTCCCGAATGCATGTTCTGCATATCCACGGCCTTCTGATTGCCAGTTGGTCCAAGCAGCCCTCCATTCAGCTGGCTGCTAGAGCTGATCACGCCCCATGTGCCCTCTGTCCTCCCTGGGAACGGAAACTCCACACGTGGCACAGAAGGAGATCTGGCATGCAGCGAAGATGGGCTCGACAGCATGGGGTGCCCCCCCGAGCCATCTGGCGACTTCACCAGCTCACTGCGCTGGTTCTCGCATGCTGCATCAGCTGAGCTGCCGCCTACTCCGTCCAGGCCGCTTCTTGCACTTGTTGGCTGCGACGTGCCAGGTTCATCTTGTCTGGATGCTCCCTGCTGCTGCAGATGCGAGGCCCAGGCAGTGGGGGTCGGCGCTGCTGACACAGTGGACCCAACGCCCTGCATGCTGCCAGGTGGCCCCCAAGGACGGGCTCCCTGAAGGGATCCAGGCTTGCTGCCATCTGCAGGAGACGGACCAGTGGGTTCCTGATCAGGGCCATGCGCACTGACGTTGGCAGGCGCTCGCTGTGGAGAGCCAGCGCCACCCTGATCTGAACCACTGGCTGAGAAAGTTCTTGAATGACTCCCACCTGCGCTGGGCACAGACATCGGTGGCCTTGGCCCTGTCGAGTCGCTGTGGCTGACTGGCGTGACGCCTGGTTGTTGGACGGGGTTCGCCACTTGCGTTGAGGGCACCGTCACGGACTGCGACTTAGGCTTGGCGCTGGACTGCATGGCGACAGGCTGCTTCGCCGACTGATCAATCACCTCCGGCACCTCCTCCTGCTTGAAAGCTGCCACATGCACAGCCGTGCCTTGAGTCACGCTTGCATCCAAGGGCTTTGCCAAAGGAGTCTTTGCCCCTGGTGGGGAACTAGCAACTGGCGGCGAAGCAGGTGGTGCTGGTGCAGCAGGCACTCTGCCAGGACGCTGCCATGGGCTTGCCCTGCTGCTTTGGACAGCTGCTTTCAGCTGGGGAGATGGGCTCACAAGACCGGAAGGCTGAGCTGGCTGTGATCGCCCAGGTGCCGATGCGCCACCAAAGCCCTGATGTGACACCTGCAGCTGCCCAGCTTGCCTGGCATGTGAGACGCCATATTTGGGCTGCAGTGTATTCGACAAGCCTGGGCGAGTGGCCCTTGCAGCAGCAGCAGCAGCAGCAGCAGCAGGAGGGTGAGCAACCTGTGACTGCTGACTGGCAATCTGGCCCACTCGCTGTAGAGACTTTGAAGAGGAAGCGGGCATTTTGGGAGAGGTGGCAGAGCTCACTGCATGGCCACTTTGCTGCCCAACAGAGGATCTTCCTGGAGTTGATGCTAGTGTTGAGGCAGCGCTGGAAGCATCCAATGAAGATTTCTGTATCTGTGCCACACCCACAGGCCCATTAGATGCAGCACTGCCATGGTGCCCCTCGGTCTGCCGCGATTGTCCAGCTTTGCGCCTTACTCTCTGAGCCTTGATCTTCACCACTGGCTCCTTGCCACGATCTGATCCACGCTCCTGTGCAGATGCTGCTGAAGGCGACCTTTTCGTTTGCTTCCTTTGGGTCTCAGAGCTGGCCACAGACTGGGCTGCAGCCCTCTTGACCGAAGCAATTATCGGCGTTGACGTGTTGTGGCAGCGGATAATTTTAACAGTGCCCTGGGATGAGGATGGCCCTGCGATCTCTCCACTATCCTTCCCCTTACCACTTCTCTTCACCTCCTCTGAAGGGGAAGGCTTCGCCTGTTCCTTTTGACTGTCAGTGAGCTTTTGGTCCTTTTCCTTGGCTCTGTCCTTCGGCCGTTGCTTATCCTCATCTTTTCCCTTCTGCCTTCTCCCCTTGCTGGGTTCAAGCTCCCCTGTTGCAGCACCGCAAGCTGTGTCTGGGGAATCCGCGAGGCTCAATGCTGCAAAACTGTCAACAGTCTCCACATCTAGTGCACTGCTGACTATACTACTCTGGTCCTCGTCTTCAGCAACTGCCTCACTGGAATCCCCAGCGCACATGTCATTGTCAGTGTGGTCGTTCTTCACCCCATCTTCCTTGACAGTGTCTTTGCGTTTCTTCTTCTTGTCCTTCTTGGCTTTCCTCTTTGCAGCCTGTTGCTCCTCAGCCTGCCGCTGCCTCTGCTCCTCTGCCAACAGCTCTGCCATGATGGCATCTGCCTGAGCCTGCCTTTCCTTCAGCTCCTGCTCTGTCGGGGCATCTGCTGCCTGCTCCAGGGGCTTTGCTTTCCTGTGTTTCTCTCTCTCTGCGAGTCGAAGTCGACCGTCCACATAGCTTGCCCTGCAATGCCAGCCAAACTGAGTGACTTGGCCTTCTGACAAACAGGCAAGCTCCAGCAAGGAGTGTGTTCAATCGACAGTCGACAGGACAGAATGAACACATCATTGACCACTGTTGCACTGTCGAAGCCCTTGAAAACAGGGGTCCCTAGAGCTGCTGACAGTCCACAGGTCAAGGCACTCTCGAACACTCACTTGAGATTGGATTTCCTGCACAGCAGCTTTGAGACATCCATATCGCCCTTCTGTCTGACCTGGGCTCCATGACCCACGAGCAGCAACACAACCTCAAAGAATCCATTGCTGGCCGCCGACTGCACTGCCTGCCAGCCCTTGCCATTCTTGATATGGACATCGCAGCCTGCTTTCAACATTTCTCGCACAAGCTCTTGGCTCCCTGTAACAGGAATGCAAGGAAAACAGTGAGGTCCATGTTTGAAGCACAGGCTCTGCTTGACAACAAATCAATTTCTACTTCACAAGCTGCTTCTTTATTCCAGATACAGTCAAAATCATTGAAAGCTTCTGCACCTTTTGATGCAGAGATGTGGAGTGCTGTGTTTCCACCAGAGTTCTGAATGTCCACATCGCAGTCCGCTGCAAGCAACACTTCCAAGGCCTCCTGGTGCAGATTGTTGACAGCATTGTGGATTGCTGCAGCCCCATTTGCAGCCTGCAGATCTGCATCAGCTCCTGCCTCCAACAATCGCTTGACAACCTGACAAGCCAAGACACAACACTCACAACAATGGCTACACATGGCAACCAGATTGCTGCACCGTAGCCTGGTTACGTAGTTCTCACAGATTCATTGAGCATCAATCCATCTTCCCAGCTGTACCATGATGACAATGGTTGGCAAAGCAATACAGCCAGCAACAAATTGTCTCACCCATGCTAAATCCCAATTCCCTTTCACTTTCACTTGTAGCAACAAACGTAATTGTTGCCATCAACGAATGTGGACCAGAACATGCTCCACATAGTCATGCTTCAGTCCAGGGTATTGATCTACAGCTGGTCCAGTGAATTTAAATAACAGCTCCTAAGCTCATGCTTCGACATATTCATGCCTCAACTCTTCCAAACTGAATACATGCTGTCTGTGCCAGTGCAGTCACAAGCATTCTGTTAAGTTATTCTGAAAGCAGAATCGCTTCCTGTGGGAAATCCTGACCATCGGCAGTGGACTCAACCCACCCGTGCATGGCCATTGCTGGCAGCGACATGAAGTGCTGTGCAGTCATTCGTGCAGATGGTGTCCACCTCTGCACCATGCTGCAAGAGCATGTCCACAGTCTCCAGCTGGCCACTGCTAGCGGCACAGTACAGTGCTGTGCAGCTCAGGTTGCCAGTGCTCATTGCATTCACTGGGCAGCCAGAGTCAATCAGCAGCTTCAGCACATCTATTTTCCCTGTGGAAGCTGCATAATGCAGGGGCGTCGACCCTGTCGATGTGCAGAAATTCACCAGTGCCCCTTTGTCTATCAGCTTCTTCACTGCTTCATAGTGCCCTTCTGATGATGCCTTGTGGATAGGCATCATGCCATCGGTGCTGGTGATGTTTAAATCCGCCTTCGCATCCAACAGCATGCCAACAATTGCAGCGCTCCCTGTAAGGATGAGACTGTTGTCAGTGGCTGACAAAAACAGCAGTACATCAGGGCAGATGCCATCATCAACAAAGGCAGCAATAAACAAACAACTATATCAGCCCCTCAAACGCATTCATGTACATGATATCGAAGCAACGCAAAATGTTGCACCCACGCTGCCTGCACCTGTGGGTGCCAGAAAGTGACTTTCAACTGCGATTCCTTTCTTTGTCCTTCCAGGCACAAATTTGCCACAGACATCCTGCATTGGCTTGGAGAAGTCCCCATGCAGCTACCAACAGCAATCCACAATCAACCAGCGAGTCCTCACCATTCTCAGCTGAGTAATGTAGAGGCGTGCAACTGTCTGCATCCCTGGCATTGACGTCACACTTCCCCGTGTTCAGCAACAGCCTGGCGACCTCCTCCATCTTCAACTGTGCTGCCAGGTGCAGCGCTGTCAGGCCCTTGACATCTTTCGTCTTGCCACACTCCAGCAACTTGGCAACGACCTCTGCATGGCCATGACACGCAGCCAGCTGCACAGCAGTGGCACCCTCATGGTCTGTCTGGTGAATGTCGATCTTCTTCTCCAGCATGACTTTGAAGATGGCTGTCACAGGCCCCAAGTGGCCCCTCTCCGCCGACCAGTGCAGCGGCAGCCTGCCCTTGTTGTCCGTAGTGTCCACAGCCACACCTGCCTGGATCAGTTTGGACACCACGTCCACATTGCCACTTGTTGCAGCCCAGTGCATGGAAGTCCACTGGTTTTTGTCCACTCTTGTGACGTCCACACCCAGCAGCAGGAACTTGAGAACCATCTCCAGCTCACCACTGCCTATTATCAGAAGGAGCAACTGCTCAACAAGGCGGCCCAGACCATCGCTTCAATCAAGGAAAAGTGTCAAAGTGCTGCAGAGCACTACCCTTTCTCAACTTGCACATGATTCAAATGGTCTGTCAAAATGTGACCAACCAACTAAATGAATTCAAAAAGGACTGTGCTCACTGCTATGATTAAAAGGTTCTTGCAGGGATGCAAATCAATCTACAAGGTCATGGGTACTTTTGAAAAAAGGGGTGCTGCCCACACAAAGCTGAACCTGGCATAGAAACGCAGCTCCTTGCCATCACCAGCTGCATCTACCTATATACAAGGCCCACAAATCTCACATACCTAGTTGAGGAATCCAAAACATGGAGCCTCTGACGCTATTCAAAATGAATTGTTTGGCAGCTTACTATCATTCTCTAAGGTACACCGCCCCCTCCTGGCCAAACCCCTTCAAGTATAACCCACCTGCAGCATACATGAGGGGATTGCAACCCTTGTCATCCACAACATGTGGGTCAGCACCAGCATCGAGGAGGAGCTTCACAACATGGAAGTGCTGACTGGTCTCCTTCCGGCCCCAAAGGCCTGGGTTGCCTTGTGCTGCATAGTGTAGAGGTTGACAGCCATCTGGCCCTTTTGTGCCGACTTGGTAACCAGCTTTCAACAGGTAAGATACCACCACGGCATGGCCCAGTTTGCAGGCAAGGTGCAGGGCATTCATCACCTCTGAGGAACTGTCCATGTTGTCATAGAGTGCAGCACCTGGGCATGCCAGTGAGGTCCCCTGTCAGCACATGAAACCTGTGCCGCACAGCTTCCCCCCCATTTTTCAGCCATGCAGACACAACAAGCACAATACCACATACTTGTGCAGGTGCCTTCACAACCATTGCCAAGGGATGGGAGTGTCCACAGCTACAACAGCCTACGTCACGTTGCAACTCCTCCAAAAGGTGTGACTCTATCTGCAGAAAACATTTGCACCATGAGAACTCCCAACTGCCAAGAAAAGCAACAAAAGAGGCGACCTCCGATTCATAGGCACCTGTGAATAACAATGTGCCCACGATGTCAGGGTTGCCCCCTTCCACAGCATAATGCAGGAGTGTGCAGCCCTGGTTGTCCTTGTCACCAGTCATGCACCCAGCATGCAGGAGGTTGAACAGCGGCAGGTTGCTGCGCTGTGCTGCATAGTGCAGGGCAGTGCAGCCCTCATTGTCCTTTATGGAGGTGTCGCAGTCATTCTCCAGCAAAACCTCCACCACACCCTGGTACTGGCCATGAGTGGCGAGATGAAGAGGCGTGCACCCCTCCATTGTCTGCAGGTTCACGTCAGCCCCTTGCTCGATGAGCAGTTTCACCATCTTCTTGTTCCCCTGTTGCACCATTGCAGAGCTGCATTTGCACTTGTAGCATTCCTGGTAAATGGGCAAGAGTGCTGCCTCCGATGAACAGCAATGCAATCTGACATAAGGCAGAGCCTACAAAGCCCCAAGTTGAGCATAACTTTTGCGCAAGCATACTTGGCAATCGCATAGAACAATGTGATCCCCTGAGAGTCAGCACGTAAGCACCCCAACTCGACATTTGTTCTCATGGTCATGCTTCCTGCAGTCATAAAAGGATGAAAATGTGACATCGCTTGTGCAAACAATCAGCCCGTCACCTGCTCTGCAGCATGGTGCAGAACCGTCCAGCCAGAAGCATCCTGGTGGTTGACAGTCAGTGTATCTAATGTCTCAAGCAGCAGCAGCACTACGTCATCGTGGCCCATCTCGGCTGCATAGTGCAGGGCTGTCTGTGACTCGCTGGACACTGCCCTGATGTCAGCCCCCCGGTCAAGGAGCGCCCTCACAGCCCCCACACTCCCAGACTTGGCGGCACAGTGCAGGGCCGTGCAGCCCGCATTGTTCTTCGCTTCAATCTCACAACCCCTATCAAGGAACAACTGCAGCACTTCAAGGTTGCCCCCCTCTGCAGCAGCGTGCCATGGCACATTGCCCTCCCTGTCTTTGACTCGGATGTCACATCCGAGGTTGAGCAGGTTCTGAGCAACCTGGTACGCACCGCCTTGTGCTGCATGGTGCAAGGCTGTCCGGCCATACTTCGTTTGAAGAGAGTGATCGCAGCCTAGATCGAGAAGCTCACGAATGATGTCCCAGTTGCCTCCATTTGCTGCTGAGTGCAGGACTGTTGTGCCACAGCAGTCATGTGCCTTGGGATTGCAACCAGCCTGCACAAAACGCACTATCCACTTCAGTACTTACTACCTGGACGGCACACATTTCCATTTTCTTAGGATGAAATTCCAGCTTTGGGGCATTCTGGAAATTCAGGACAAAGGCAGTTGCATCTGCCATATAAAGTTCAGCCACAATTCTGTTTCTGACCGACGACAGCAACAGCATACACCCACTGGAGGAAGTTAACACAGCAACAATGGCACACCTCAAGAAGGACTTGGAACGCCTCCAAATGACCCCCTTCGGCTGCACACTGAAGCGCGGTAAAGCCACGAAAATCTTCCTTGGAGGGATTGCTCCCTTCGCGCAGCAGCTGCCTGACCACATTGGCATGCCCATGTGCAGCTGCCATGTGCAGCGCTGTTGAGCCTCCACAGTGGTGCAACACAGTCATGCCCCCCAGGGTGTCTGGGTCGTATCCAGCATGCAGGAGTTTCTCCAGCACATCCGCATAGCCCCCCTGGGCTGCCAGATGGCCTGCTGTGTAACCACAGTTGTCCAGCTTCTGGACAGGACAGCCAGCAATCACAAGCTTTGACACCACATCAGTGTGCCCAGCGTGTGCCGCATAGTGAAGAGCAGTCCACCCCATCGCGTCTGTTGCATCGAATTTGCAGCCCTTAGGCCACAGCTCATCAATGACACCCGCATGACCTTGAGCCGCCCCATGGTGCAGAGGGGTTCGACCGTGCACATCACGGACGTCAATTTTGATTCCTTGCACTTTGAGGAGCCTGTCCACATAGGAAGCACCACAGCTTGACAGTGCGTCACTCATTGTAACGTCACATGATACACAAATCTACAAGGGCAACCACAAACCTTACAATGGTGAACAACGTCCTCAGCACCCTTTGACTCCTGGCTGCCATCATCTCAAAGGTGCACGGGCAGTCCACAGCCTACTTTTGACAAGTGTAGTCATACAACATATGCACAAGTAGTCATCAACATGTTGTGTGTGCTACTCCTTCTACTCATCAGATGTAGACATTCCAGCAACATATAAGAAGGGCCAACAACAGCAGCAAGATCAGCCCCTTAGCCAACACAATCTTTGTGCACCTCAAGGTTGAGAGGGCTCCTCTCTGCGGTGAAATATGCACTCCAAGGACTCCCTTACATCCCATCTTCCCACAGTCCAATGTTTGAGCAAAACAGTGTATTTTGATGCATCGCATTGGTGCGACGGCCATGGCGCAAGGGCATACGACCAAAACAGATCTGTTCTTGTCTGTGGCAGGAGCCTGCCAGAACCAGTGCAGGATGCTGAGATTCGCCATTTTAAGGCAACTGGTTACCTTGCAACGATGTGCTTATGGCCCTTGTTTGTGGCAAAATGCAGAGGAGTACAGCCATGTTCATTTGTTCCTTGAGGGTCGCATCGCTTGGTGCTCAGCAGCAAGTCAACCACGTTGAGGTGGCCATAGTACGTAGCAAGGTGCAAAGCATTGCAGAATTTGAAGCTGAGCTCGTCCACACCTGAAATCCACCAGCAGAGGCAGGAACATCTCAGCGTTCCACTTAGGAACACCTGAGTGTCTGTGTGTGTGTCCCAGAGCCACTGCACACTGCCCATCAAAGCAGTATGCAAGTTTCGGACCAAGCTTGACAACAGGCAGCACGCACATCTGTCGACTTGTGAACTCTGGGCCCCATGGTGCACACACTTCTATGCACAGTGCAGCTTCACAGCTTCCAACACAATAGTCTTTGCACGTTACATGGAAAATATTACGCATTCTGTTGCCCCTTGAGACAACTATCAAACAGATTCTGCATAGAATCTGTGTGAACAATGAAACAGAGGTGGGGGTCACAAGTTTGCATGCAGTTCATGGTGGGCATGTGACATTTCTAGGGAAGGTGTCCATGCAACCAGGAAGTAAAACAGCACACTCCAAGGGCCAGTTTGGGAGACAGCCCATTGGCGCTTCTTGTCGCAGAGCAAGGCACCCATACCCTGCACGACATTTCAACCAAGCCATCAACCCACAGTGTGCGCAACACACCTGGCACTTCAGAGATGTCTTGTGCAAACAAGAGCACAGGTCAGCTGTTTGTACGTCATCCAGTGCATCCAGTATTCTGAGCAAACTCAAAGACATTCATCTCCACCCACCAACACTAAAAATGACAAGCTCCTCTCACCTGGGTCCCTCTCAACTCGTATGCCAACTCCCTGGGATTTCAATTTCGACCCAGGAGAGTCGACTGCCACAAGACGCGAGTTCACTGGGCTCTCTCTTTGGATGACATGGCTGCACTTGCCTTCACCTTCATCTGAACAGCCCTGAAACTGGCCCTGACTGTGGCCCTGTATATGCGCCGCTGGCACCTCACAGCATGCAGTGGGTGAGCCTGGCACAGGCATCACAGAGTCAAACTTCGAGGTCACAGCCTGGCCTGCTTTTTCAATACCTGCACTGCATCCTCCATCCTCATTTTTGGGCTGACTAACTGGAGGCTGCAGAGGCCCTGCATCAGGTGCAGCCTTTCTCTTGCTGGCAGCCCCAAGTAGGTCCACGTGCAACACGGCGGAGCAGTCACAACCAACGTAGATGAGTTGCTCGATGATGTCCGCCCGTCCTGCAACAGCAGCCACGTGAACAGGCGCACGCCCAACACCATCCCTGCCATCGATGATCTGCTGTATGTGATGACCTGCCACCTGGGAACAATTGCAAAGTCACTCCTCTCAGGGATCCAGCCCAAGGCTCAACAGCCACTCGGATGGTGTTGCACATACACAAGGTTCTTTGAGTTGGTCAAGGCTGGCACTGTATGGTGGCCCTGGCCTTCCGAGTGATGATACTTCATGTGCTTGGAATATAACATCCATAACAACAGCACCCCTGCAAGGCATCAGAACTGGACATTTGCAAGGAAGCGACTCTTCCCAGATATCGATAGGCCCAGTGGATTGGCCCAGTAACCACAACAAAGCCTCTGGACCACGTCACTACTGTAAAGCCAACGGCCCTCCATTCAGCCACATTCAAGTGGGCTAATACCCATAATGAAAATGACGAGCTTTGGATCCATTACATCTGTGCAGCTTGTGCCACTTACCCGACTGTCCATCACATACATCGCCGGCATTGACACTTCCCCTTGCACTGTGCCACCAGCGCTGCTTGCCTGCCCACTTTGGTTCAAACTCACTACTGGCACTGGAACGCCATACTGCATGGGCACGCTGGACGGTATGCACAGCATGGGGCCTGGCATCGCACTGCCAGTCACTCCTGGTTCGCCTGGCTGCAATCCCTGCTCGCCATGCAAGCCACCTGGCGCCACCATGCCCCAAGTTCCGGCAGCTGCAGGGTGCACTCCATACCCATACATGCCATACAGCTGATTTGGCCGGAACACCTGATTCACTGTCTGACCTGCCTGGCTTGCCTGACCCTGCACATGGTTCACGCCCCCCACTGGTTCCAAGCCAAATGTCACAGGCGTCATCATGGTGGACAGGAACTGAGGGAAGCTGCATACAGTGGGCTTTGATGCCTCCAGGACACCTGCCACCTTTTCGCCCAGCAGTTCAGACTGCCCATTGATGGGAGGTGAGGCCACTGGCTGGCTGTGGCTGTGCTCTGTGTGGTCAGCCTCTTGCTGACTGTCCACAGTCAAACTCGCACCTGCAGCCTGCAGCTGAGCACCATCCACAGAGCAAGTCCCCTTGCTCAAGTCTTGAGGCTGCGCAGGCCCCGCGTGGCCAGTTTCTGCAAAGCTCTTTCCATTGGACTGCACAAGCATCTGGGTGGAGAAGGACCCAAACATTGGGCGCCCTTGGTGCACCAAGTTGGAGGATGCAAAGGTGCCAAATTTGATGTTCTTCAGGTCTGCAAACCGCGCTGGGCTTGCGAGCGTGAAGCCCCCCATTTGACTAATTGGCCCAAAGGGCGGCTGTGTACCTCGCCTCAACAACATGTCCCCAATGCCAACCCCTGGATGCTCAGGATCGTAAAGGATGTCCAAGCCGGCAGGAGGCATACCAAACAGCCCTCCCCCTTCATCTTGGGCCAAAGTGTGGCCTGGGGAAGTAGGGAAAGCCTCAACAGTACTGCCACCTGCTTGTGAAGCCAAACCAGCTGCTCGATTCTTTGCAGGGGGTGGCAACATCGGGTCTGCAAGTCTCTGTAGAGCAGAAGATGGCTCGTTGGAGCCCTCACCCTGGTCATTGGGCTGCGTGTCAGCACCATGCCGCAGGTGTAATCCCATCCTTTTCACTTTCCGCCTCACCTCTGGCCTTTGCACACTGGTCCTTGTTTCCATTTCTGGGTGCTCTGGATCATACTCCTCCAGAATCGCCAGCTCGTCTGTGCAGTCCAGATCATCACGGTCATCTCCATGGTGGCGAACAAGGCCATCGCCATCGATTCCCTCATCCTCGCTGTTGTCTTCCAGTGCCAATTCCCCAAACATTGGCTCCAAATTGAGCGACAGGTCCAAGTTACAACGTTTACTGGCTGGCCCCTCTGGCTCCTCCTCATCGTCGTTCACAAACGCCACATCACCAAGCTCTGGAAGTTCCAGCCTGGAAGTGCTGTCGAAGCCATCGAACGGGATTGCAGGAATGGCGCCTGCAGCATGGGCCCCTGGAGGCATTGCATCCTTTGCAGCAAATCCCGTGCCTTGGTCCTTAGCTAAGCTTCCCTGCAAGCCAAAGTGAGCACCGTTGCCATCGCCACCCAAGACCTGCATACCTCCCAAAGGTACCTGTGCAGGGGGGGCTCCAATTTGCTGTGGCCTGAAGGTTCCAAAAACCAGAGGCGCATTCACTGGCGCCTGTTCAGGTATGCCCAACAACGGTGACCCCATACCAACTGGCAGCCCTTGAGGGATCGTCATCCCTGGCGTCGATGCAGCAGCAGGAATTGTTGGTGAGGTACCCGGGGTGCCTGGGTCGCGGCTCCGGTGCTTGACGGCCCACCACAGTATGGCTGTTATTTCTTCAGGGTACTTGTCCCGCCAATTGGGCCCAAATGCACTCTCCAGGACTGGAGCCCAATTGTCTTGGACGAAATGATCCCAAAGGTCCCCTTCCCCATCCTTGAGACACACAGGCAACATTACACGCATGTTCCACATACCAGACAGTGCTATTGACAGCATCAGCTGGACTGAGCAGAGGGTAAATGGACAAGCAGACACAATGCACTTTGCGCAGGGACAGGCAGCTTGTCTGTGAACATTTAAGCTTATATGCAAGCACAATATGGCTGATGCGATCCATGATACACAGGGACTTGTGTTCGCAGCAGCAAAGCCCATCCTTGAGCAAGTTAACAACTAGCCAACTCAAAAAGAAACTGAGGCCTGAGCCAGTCCCTTGCGCACCATGATGCATCCCGCACACATGCCAGGACTTCAATGAGGTCTCTGTTTGTGGAAAGCATCAATGCTTCACTGTGTATGGCATCGCAGTAGACAAACAATTCGAAGACGTTTGCATAGCTGGGATTGTATCCCATGGACACTCACCAGGTCCGGCCCAACAGTTGGTGGTGTTTTAGCTTCTTCTTTTGGCCTGTCCTTTGGCTGTTCACTTGCAGCAACAGTGTGTGTCTCCCCTGATTCACATTCCCATTCTTTCATGCTGTGTATGCTCCGTTTCATTGTCCTGGAAGCATACAAACGGGTTCAATGCACACAAGGAGATCCTGCCTGTGGAAAGCAGCAGATCAGTGGTAGGCAGGAAGAAAAGAAACAAAACATGCACACCGTGTATGTGAACTGAACATAGCTTTCCATTGCAGCAGCCAGCAAGAACCCGTTGTGGATTTACTCTTCACCCCAAATTAACTCCATATCCTTGAATCTTGACTGAACATAAGTCTTATTTACATTGAACAGATACATCACTTCTTGAACAAACCCTGGCATGTACATCCTACAATCCAATCCATGCTCAGACAGATGTTCGTTGTTTAGGCAACGAAAGAGTGGAGATCTCACTTCCCTTGCGATCATGATAGAGAGATGCTCTGGAGAATTCACATCTCGAGGACAATTCCAAATCGACAGGGAAATCAGCACATTGAATGAGCAAAGGTTGTGGACCCAGGCTGTGGTTATCAGAAGTCTCCCTCGTCTTGAAGGGACTTGAAGCTCCCAGTTCGACACTGTCGTCGCTGGGCCTTGCAGAAGTTCACATCGGCCACACCCACTGGGCCCATTCTTTGAGCCCCAGGGATGGCCGTGCCAATTCAAACCAAGCAGCCCACACGTTCTGTGTCAGGCGCCAGTTCATGCATAGATCCCCCCTCTCCCCCTCCCCAATAAGCCACCCCATTCTGGAACGAGCTCCTGGCGGTGCACAGCACAGAACCACATGGTGTCTCCCTTTCCCTTCCCCCTTCCTCACTACCAGACTCCTTTCGCGCCAAAACAGGCGAGAAGGCGCCCGCGCACGGCCAACATCGGCCCCCACTCCCCAGTGGACAGTCGCATCCAATCCAATGGGCCCCCTTCCCAAGATGTGGGACCGCGCCACGCCTGAAGGAGCCGACGGAGCGCCCCGTGCGCCACTCTGGGCAGCAGAGGCCGCCGGTGCGCTCGATCCTTTGACGAGCACCCGGCGGGGCTCCCACCTTCCCCGGCAGTCCTACCAAGCCGGGCCAGGGCGGCAGCGGCCGGCACGGGTCGGGCGTCGAGCGCATGTCGCCACAGGCACCGGCCTCGCGCGTTCCCCTTTTTCGGTCGCAAGAGGGGTGCCACGCGGGGCGAGACGTCAGGAAAATGCTCACCCTTGGGCCAGATGGGCCCGTTCGCAGATGGTTCGCGGACGCGAGGCGCTCAGCGGCCCGCCTGGCCTGGCAGGGCACAGGGGTGTCCCTCGCCCGTGGGACTGGCCCCCGTGATGCCGCGCGAGTTAGGGCTAGCCGCTGGCCCCACGGCCGTCCCCCGCCCCTCCTGCCGGCCCCTCCGCGCGCCATCCCGCGCCCGGCACCACCCCCTGATCGTCAAACTTCCCACCGCTTCCCTGTGCCAGAATTGGGGGTTGGAAAACCATTCGGCGGGGAGCATGGGCGGTCGACGCGCACCTGTTCCGGCCCAGGCGCTTGTGTTCCGCGAGGGCCCCGCCAGCGTGTGTCGCGCTCCGCCAGGCGCCCCGTCCCGCCCCCAGCCCGCGCGCTGGGCCCTCCTCCTTTTGGCGCGGCCCGGCGCAACAATGACGGAAACCAGAATGTCGCCGGCCTAGCAAACGCCCCTGACATGTGTGCGCACGGCCTGCTGCCAGGCCGAAGGCCAGGTGTAAGACGATTCTGAGAAAGTGACGTCCCCGATGACCTTTTTTAGCTCCAACGCCGGGCGTCCCCAATAAATGCGCGCACTTCACGACTCCATTTCTAGCATTACCCGTCATCCACCGCGTGCGTAATGCGCAATTGACGCCGGTGAATCAAGTTAATCCAGGGACACGGCCGCCCGGGGGTGCTGGCGCAGGTGCGCAAAACCAATTAGGGTTCCCAGCAGCTGTGACAAGCTGGCAAGGGAAGGACTTCTGTGTGCGTCACGCGATGCCGTGGGGCCCGGCCAACCTGCAGAGATGGGTTAGTGTCCTGTTAGGCGCGATACGGCAGGGGATTGGCACGGTACGGTGTGCTGGTACATGTACCACTCGCGCTTGTACCTCGCCACGCGGTTGAATCAAACCTGCACCCTGGTACGAAACAGGTACAGGTGCATGGTACAGGTCTCGCAAGGACTAATAGAGTGATGTTTTGATGTGTCACTGTGCAAGCTATGGATTTGAGAAATTTGGTGTGCACAAGACTGGTACTTGGTACGTTCATCAGGCATACCTGGCACGGAAATCACCCATACCAAGTGCGATTCAGGCCGTATCATTTTTTGCATAATTCTACCAGCCATACCACAGGAACTGTTCCTGGAACTACGCACGCCAGGCCAGGCAGAATCATGGTACAATACGGCAGCGCGGGTCTGGAACAGTGAAACATCTCAGACACAGCCGTGATCTACTGTGCCACAGAAAATGCCGCAAGCACAAGCCTGCTTTCGGGGAACAGTCCGTATCGAATCTGTCCTTTGGGCTGTCCACAGGTTGAGCTGCAAGGGACAACTCTGCATGATCTGTGCCGAGTGGGACTTGGCCTGAAAAGGCCCTTTTCAAAAGAGTGGGAAACTTGAGACTGTTAATATTTCATTTCTTTTCTTCCCAGCTTTGCCATTTGCCATTGTGGTTTTGGTGCTTATTATTTATACATTAAATGGAAGCACAGAAAAGAAAAGGCAGGCGCGTGTCCATCTATTTCACCTGGGCGGCGTCAGAGACGTGGCAAAGGTCTAGAGGGAGCATTTACTAATTGGAAATAATTGTGCAAATGAGCTTTTTCAAGCTAATATTCCAAATTGTGCATCATTCATTCTAGTGTTGTAAAAGGCTTCCTGAGATTTTTGCAGCATGCCAGCCGTGGAACATTTTGAAAGCATCTATGCTCGAGTTAATGTGTACACGCTGTGCCCAAGAGCACGATCAAGAAAGGGCAGAATCGCACGAGCGCATCCTTTGGCAGCGGTGCACACCTTCGCGTGCACCGCTGGTGGGGCGCAGTGTTATGCGCTCAGGTTGGGCACATACTCAGCCTGCATATTTGCACAGATAATTTTGCGATGCGCAGGTGCTATGCACAAAGTGTAGCATAAAGCAGGGCAAGACTAAGGAGGGAGCGTACGTCATTGATACTATAGGCCATTGACTTTGCATTGCGTTTGTGTTGCTGCAAAGTGACCAGATTCAAGGCACAGCTGTCAAACATAGCGCTACTGTGTTTTGTTCCGAGTTTGGGGCGCATATTTGAACCAAAGAAATTCAAGCGCATTTCGCCGTCGGAAGGGACGTCCATACAAAATCCTGGATCCGAGTAGCTTATGCTCGGCTGCTTGTGAGGCTCCCTCGAAGCATGGACTTTGCCGAGTTTTTCCTGCAGTGCAAGAGAACACCGCCAAAATCATACTGCAAAGGGCCAAATTGGCCACCATACTTTATGCTACATATTTGAGGAATTTGCTTGCATTTTCGCTTAGATGCTTGTCGACTATGAGCGCAGAAACTGCAGTCCGATATCGGAGTACATTGTTTGAATTTCACTAATTCCATTCTTCCCAGGAGCAGGTGCATCTCAAAGGTACACTTCGCCTTGACATAGCTTGATGGAAGGGTGTAGAAATGCTCCTTGCACTTTGCCGATTATGCACCTCTACCTCGTTGTTCCTCGGAAGCTTCGTAGCCAATACCTATGCAAGCCTCAATTGGGCAGTTGGCTCCCATTCACTATCAAACACATCATCCTACTTGTTCCTTACTGCATCGCCATATAGTGCATATCAATGTACAGTTCATCATACCATGGAATGGTGCTGTACTGTATGGATCTGGGACTCACAGATATTGGGTCGGTGCAGTGCCACGGCAAATTGCTGAGATCAAATGATCGGAAAAGACCTAAAAAATAAATAGGACCTTCAAATGATCTGAAATCGTAGTCTATCACAGGATATCAAAAATTTCGCTTCATTTGCAGCTGGCATTGGCTGTTTTAGGAGCCAAAATGTGGGCTGGTGCAAGCTCGGTGTTGTACTTTGAACCGCAGATGCGTACCGAGGGAAGTGCGATTCATACCACAGTACAACTGCCCAGTGCGTACCAGCCTGTGCCGTCTGCATCTACGGCACCACCAAGAGAATCCAGGAAAGAATTTGGAATATGTTTCAATGAGCTCAGATTGACGCCGTTTTGAGAACTGGTTTCATTACGAAAATCACACATCAAACCAGCCCATCAATGGCAGAATTCGCTCCAGTCATGCTGCAACTCACATCCTCCTCACATGGCCATGGGCCTGTAATTGCATTAGTTCCAACTAGAAAAACTGTTGGTCTTTCACTTGACAGAATATCCAATACCCCAGCATCCAAAGCACGGAAATGAACACCGTCCAAAGCTCTTCATGAACACCTTTTCTACCAATGGCAGCCCCAGGGTAGAAGATACCCAGCATCAAAATATTTCATGAACAGTTCTTAATCCACAAGGAATCAGTCATCTTGGCGCAAAACAACATTTCCATCGCCTTTTACTGACAACTTCTATGGTCAGGCTACTGTAACTGCCGATGGCGGACATGTATTTTTGTGCTTCAAAATAACCAGGAATTTCTTGCCTCAAAATGGCACAGAAAACACCAAACAACTCAAACGCCGAGCTCAAAGCGTTGAGTTAGCTGAAAAACAAGCAATACAATACAGTTTCCACGCTTGCAATCACACCTGCAATCGCTCATCCGACACCCCAAGGAAATTCACGATGCAAAAAGCTCAAGCAAGCAGGCTAAATGAACAAAATGGTTCATCTTGCATCCATATGAAGTCGACCGAAGTCCCGACCCAATTTCTTGTAGTTTTTCTGCTTATTTTTCCTTCTTGGTTTCCCAAATATTTTCTATTGTTTGTTCTTCTTTCACATTTTGTTTGGCAGATGACAGCCCAATGAGCCACATTCAGCCTTTGTTAGATGACCATTATTTATGACCGGTAAATATGAATGGTAAGCCACGACCATGTGTGTACAAATTAAGGATGTGCCCGATCAATATCGCCAGACAAAGGGATCCAACTAACACATAACAACCTGCCACTAGTCCAGCCACGAAAGCGCAGATCAATTGGAAATGACAGGGACTACTGGCTGGCCCAAAGATCATGCTCATCATAGGCTATGACGTGACGGGTTCAACATTTTTTCCTGGCTGGTTTGACTATGGTTTACGCGCCCTAAATTCAAAGGAAACTTAATTGGCTCTTGACTTGGGTTACCTCACGAGCTAAGTTATCCAGATGCAGCAATTCACTACATATTAATGAGTACAAGGTGCCCCCAAACTGTTCTACACTCTCTTTGAATAAGCCTTGCATCAACCTATTCGTCTACCTTGGCAGTGAGAGCAGCAAGTTAATTTAGCAGGGCACTGCCAACTGCCATCCAGAGTTGAAGCAATTGGTTGGTACTCATGAACACACCTACCCAATCCTTGGTATTGTCTTTAGAACTATGGAAACTGCCCAGCGATATCAACACATCATCAACATATACTTTGACATCTAGTTTCTTGCTGATTCTGTGTGCTCCTTGCACAATTTCCGTTATCAACAACTTTCAGCTCTTTTTGGCATGGTTTTCGGTTGCTTCATGGGCGATGCACCTACCGAGGCGCCCAATGGGGCCGTGGGGCCCTCTTCGCCGGATGGCCGGTGGGCTTTCTAAGGCGCTTTTGTGTTTGGATGTGCAATGTGGGCCCAAGCCTATGGATTGGCTGGGCTTGGGGCGGCTGTGCACATAGTGGGCACACATGGCAACTTGCAGCCTGTGGGTGCAGCTGCAGGTGAGGCGAGAGTAGGCATAAATGGAATTACAATCTATCATGCGGGGTTAGTCACATGACCCCCGCACATAGCTGTATGCAATGTACAGGACAGTGTATCAAATGTATCCGTATCGATAGTATCTCATCCCCGAGTACGGTAGGGGCCAGCCCATAGGTACTAGAACTTCAACAGATTATATGTAAGGGGCACGGAGCCTTGGCGGCAACTCCGGGCCCGTTGGTCCAATTCGGGACCCAAGGAACGGGAAATC